TGGCGTGCCCCAGATCGACCTGATGGCGTCCTCCCAGAATCATCAGGTGGAGAATTACTTCTCCCTCCACCCGTCAGGCAATGGGCCAGGATGCTCTCTCTCTTCCTTGGTCATTCGATCTGGGGTATGTGTTCCCTCCCCTACCCATGATACCCAGGTTCCTGCGGAAGGTTTGGTTGGAAGGAAAGAAGGTTATTGCCATAATTCTGATTTGACCTCGGAGGCCGTGGTTCCCCCTATTGGCTATGATGAGCCAAGAACAGCATTGTCCTCTTCCTGTTATGGAGGATCTGCAAACGCAGGGCCCAATATTCCATCCTCATCCGGAATGCCTCAAATTGGGGGTATGGGTGTTGAAAAGAAAGACTTCAACTTCTAGGTCTCTCAGAAGCTGTGGTCAATACCCTTTTGCAGTCAATGAAAGCTTCTACTTCCTCATGCTACCATAGGATCTGGTATGTGTTCTGGGAATGGGCAAGATGGTCCGGAAAGGGGCCTTAGCCTCAGCACTCTTAAGGTTCAGTCTTCGGCGCTTTCAGCTTTGTGCAATATCTCATGGACTTCGGATCCTTTGACCTCCAGGTTCTTCAAGGCAACATTCAGGTTGAGACCTCCTTCCAGATCTACCCCCTCCTTGGGACTTTCCTCTGGTGCTCAATTACCTAACTGAGGATCTGTTCGTTCCTCTTCAGAGTTTGGATGCTACCCTCCTGACGTATAAAACGTGGTTTTTGGTGGCAATTACTTCTGCAAGAAGAATTTCAGAGATTATAGCATTTTCTACCTTATCTTCTTGTTTACAATTCTATCAGGATAGGGCGTGTCTGAAACCAAAACCTGAGTTTCTTCCTAAGGTGGTCTCTCAGTTTCATCTCTCTCAAGAAGTGGTCCTTCCATCGTTCTACCCCAATCCTTCTTCGCAAGAGGAGGTTAGATGGCAATGTTTGGATGTCATGAACTGCCTGTCTATGTACCTTAAGTGTTCTGAGTCTTACCGAAAAACTGACCAACTCTTCGTTTTACCGTCGGGAGCCAGGAGAGGTGAGGCGGCTTCTTTATCTACATTAAAATATTGGATTTCACTGGTAATCAGAAAAGCATATATCTCTAAAGGTCGATCTCCTCCAATGAAGATAAGAACTCATTCTACTAGAGCATTGTCGACTTCATGGGCTAATTGAGCAGAGGTTCCATACGATGATATTTGCAGGGCAGCCACCTGATCTTCCCCGATAATGTTTTTGAAACACTACAAACTGGATGTGGACTCTCTTTCCACCTCCTTTGGGAAGAGTGTCCTGTCTACGGTTTCTTTATCCCATTGATATTAAATTTCTTTGCAGCATAAGAGTCAGTTTAGTGTCTTTTTCTCGGTTTATTATTCCCACCCTATAATTCTGTGAGCTTGGGTATTCCCCATAAGTGATGCTGCCATGATTAGCCAGGAATAGAGAAAATTTATAACAAACTTACCGTAATTTTCTTTTCCTGGCTATTTCTCATGGCAGCATCAGAGTTCTATTTGGGTGAATGAGCAATAAAAACTAAATGTAAACCAAGTGCAGGCTAGCCTCTGTAAATTGGACACTCCAAATCCAATAATAAACAAAAGTATATATAAGCTAACAGGGCGCCACAATCACTAAATTGGTATATGTAAGGAAAAGAACCATATACATAAATATATGAGAGATATCTGATATCTGAATAAAAATAGTAATTTATTGATACAGAATTAATAGAATAAAAGCACAACAATAAGTGCCCAAACATATAATAAACAGGAACCCATAGGTATAGCAGCTCACTAATACATAATGCTGAACTGGGCAATAAAGTGCAAAATGCTAAAGTGCAAAGTATAGTGTTAAAGTGCAAATGCTCGAATACAAAGTCCTAATACCGAAAGTGCACCAAGCCAATAACATATTTGCATACAAATAGCCCAAAGATAAAAAAAAGTAGATAGCACATATAAACAATAAAGCCGCTGATACCACAATGCAGGGTCCCAAATAGTGGTCAATGCGATCATGATCGCTTCCAGCGCTCTAATTCGCCGTGGACGTATCAGGTACGGACTTAAGGACAGTTTTTTTGTAGGACGTACCTGATACGTCCCAGGTTGGGAAGGAGTTAAAGGGAGTGCTCCTAATCTCAGCTTGTTACCTGTATAAAAGACACCTGTCCAGAAGCAATGAATCAGATTCCAAACTCTCCACCATGGCCAATACCAAAGAGCTGTCCAAGAATGTCAGGGACATGATTGTAGACCTACACAAGGCTGGAATGGATACAAGACCATCGCCAAGCAGCTTGGTGAGAAGGTGACAACCGTTGGTGCGATTATTCGCAAATGTAAGAAACACAAAGTAACTGTCAGTCTCTCCCGGTCTGGTGCTCCATGCAAGATCTCACCTCGTGTAGTTTCAATGATCATGAGAACGGTGAGGAATCAGCCCAGAACTACACGGGAGGCACTTGTTAATGATCTCAAGGCAGCTGGGACTATAGTCACCAAGAAAACAATTCTAACACACTACGCCATTAAGGACTGAAATCCTGCAGCGCCCACAAGGTCCCCCTGCTCAAGAAAGCATATGTACAGCCCTGTCTGAAGTTTGCCAATGAACATCTGAATGATTCAGAGGAGAACTAGGTGAAAAAGTGTTGTGGTCAGATGCAACCAAAATCGAACATTTTGGCATCAACTCAACCAGCCGTGTTTGGAAGTGGAGGAATGCTGTCTATGACCCCAAGAACACCATCCCCACCGTCAAACATGGAAGTGGAAACATTATGCTTTGGGGGTGTTTTTCTGCTAAGGGGACAGGACAACTGCACGGCATCAGAGAGACGATTAACGGGGCCATGTACTGTCAAATCTTGGGTGAGAACCTCCTTCCCTCAGCCAGGGCATTGAAAATAGGTCGTGGATAGGTATTCCAGCATGACAATGACCCAAATCACACAGCCAAGGCAACAAAGGAGTGGCTCAAGAAGAAGCACATTAAGGTCCTGGAGTGACTTAGCCATAAAAAAAATCTCTGGAGGGAGCTGAAGGTTCGAGTTGCCAGACATCAGCCTCAAAACCTTAATGAATTGGAGAAGATCTGCAAAGAGGGGTGGGACAAATTCCCTTCTGAGGTGTGTGCAAACCTGGTGGCCAACTTCAAGAAATGTCTTACCTCTGTGATTGCCATGAAGGGCTTTGCCACCAAGTACTAAGTCGAAGGGCCAAATACTTATTTCACTTATTGACATGCAAATCAGTTAACTTTTTTTGACATGCGTTTTTTTGGTATTCTGTCTCTCGCTGTTAAAATACACCTACCATTAAAATTATAGACTGATCATTTCTTTGTCAGTGGGCAAACGTTCAAAATCAGCAAGGGATCAAATACTTTTTCCCCTCATTGTATAGGACAAGCTGTTGAGATTTACATAGGTGCACATGTGATGAAAGCAAGTTTTCTTAACAATGGGAAAATGTCTCTGGTAATGGGGTTTGGCCTTGAAATCATTACTGGAAGCAGTATAGGCTTCTTTAGGAATACGATGATGCCTTTATATTGGTGCCAACATTGTTTCATGGAAAATAATAATCGTGGTTGTAAGGTCAGTTCACAGATGCCCTAATCAAATGCTTACTCCTAACTGCTAAAATCCAACCTAAATTTTTAACTGTAACCATGATGTGATCCAATTTTCATTATTCTAGACCATGCTAACATGACAGGAGAAATATATGCAATTCTAGAAAGAATAGAGTGTGTATTAGACTCATCTACTGCATCATACTAATGGTCTGTATTATTTTTAATAGGAAATTCATGTAAGCAGATGTGAAGCAGCAAATAGACAGCCAATATAGATATGTGTTAGTGATCCCCTCAATTTAAATTTTGTAATAGAGCCATGATGGCGTAATCTTTCATGTGAATGGTTGTTAGACCTGTACGATTGAGATGCTTCAATGTTGGAATAGTTAAGTGTGTGTAAGTTTTCTTCAGTACCGTTAACCCTTTCTGGAATGATGAATATATATATATATATACACACACACACACACACACGGTTTTAATAACTATAGACTACATATAGTATATCATGTAACTGCATTGAGAGGAAACACACAGTTTTAGAAAAAATATATATTTTATTGAAATATTTAGATTTTTTTCATTTAATAATTGGATTATATCACTTTTTTTTTTTTTAGCAAAGAATGTTAATATCCAACATCTCAAACAATAGTTATTTCCTGGCAAATTAGTGACTTTGCTACATATAAGGGTTGATGTTTATTAAAGTATAAAAATACATTGGGGCATACATTTATAAAAAAAAAAAAAAAAGAGCAAAAAGAATGAACAAATTTATGTCTATTCTCAATTTGTTTCAAGGAATGTAATGCAATTGGAGGTACAACACTTCACGTGAGTTCCCAAGCCTGGGAATATGGTGCCCTACAAATAATTTGTATTTTGAGTTTCCAAAGCACCAGCCACTAAAATTAAGACATTCCATGATCATATATTAATCCACCAGCCCGTGTTGTTCAAATAAATGTAAAGTCCACCAATGAGATATGACTACAATGAAAATGGCAAACACGGACAGTCACTAACTGTAGAATTTTGTTGGCAATGGATAAATAGCATATTTGACTAAAAGCATAATACGTTTATTCCAGGTCATTTGAAGAGATTAGAAAGTCATGGGTTTGATAGCTTTTTGCATTTAAATATTATTGCTTCCGTCACTCCAAGGCTCACTGGATGGGCCTCTATAGGAACCAAAGACTCAAAGTAATCTGTTTTCATAACAATATCTTTTTTATTTGAAGCCATTTCATTTTTATCTTTTTGAAGCAAATCATTCTCCGTTCTGGCAGTGCTTCCATTTTTAACATCTTTGAACTGAAAGTGTGCTTTCAGGTGATGATGAAGGCTTTGGCTGAGGAGTAGCACAATAATCCCTCCAATGCGGACGACTCTGCAAAAGCAGATAAGAGAGAACTGAGGCACCCATCCTTCCATCCAAAACCAATAATGCAATAGGACTAATTCACTACAAATCCAATGAATTATTGTTCCAGGAATATACAATCATCTTGTGCAATACTTTACTGATCGATGAGTACTAATTTAATTTGCTACATACTAGTTTACTACGTATACAGAATTTTAAAATTGTGATAACTACAAAGTAGTGCACATTATACTGGAGCAATCCAGGGTCAATAAATGACATTTTGAGCTACCACCTATTATATATTTCACTGCATATTTTGCCTAGTGGCGTGTATTAAGTTTGTGTCAGACATGTAATCATGCATGAGTTTGGCCTCTTTGGTCTTGGATAGGCTGCTCCGGACCTCCCCTTGGCCATGCTTTCTCTCTCTTTTTCATATTTACAAGCTTTCCACTTCCACCAATACGTTAACACACATCTAACCTATCAGTGTCTTATCTCTAGGGATCACAGAAAACTGTACTGCACATACACAATAAAACAATCTTGTGATGTCATCAGTGACATTGCAAGATCCTAAGATGTGCACCTGCTGTGAATGTGTGCTATACATACTCATGGCAGGCACTTTCCCTAGACAGCGAGCATTGCCTAGAAGCCACTGACCGCTATCGCAGCGCACCGGACCACCATGGATTCTAGCAGCCCACTGGACCGCCAGGAAATAGTGCATTAGAGTTTTACAAAAGGTAATCAGGAGTGAAGCTAAATAAAATATTTACATACATTAAAAAAAAAAAAAAAAAACAAGCTGCACATACATAGTCCACACACCCTCAACTTTGTATTCCCCTTTTCAATAAGCTGCTTTTCAGATCACCAAGGAGCATGGGAAAGAAACTTAATGAGAAGCATCTGATTGTAGTATTCGCCAGAACACTTTTCATCTGTCCTGGTAAAAATGAGTTGGTCTTGCAAAGGCTGCAGTCAAGAGATCTGTAGCTTTTACAAGCTGTTTTTAGATATAACCCCAATTACAAAATCTATATATGAATAAATTAATGTTTTCATTGGAGATATATATACTAAACAGTGCATTTTAAATATGTGTGGGTATGTGTGGGTTTGGGGCTGTTCCATTAAGACTAAATCAGTTTCAAAGCCCAGAGTTTAGTAAATAAAGTGTTATTGACAAAAAAATAATTTACAGCATAAGATACAATATAATTTACATACCTCTCCATTTCACAAAGGATTTCAGGAAGCAGCTCTTTCATGTTTTTAGAGGATGCAAACTTTTTTCCAAATGGGATATCAGAAATTACCACATCAATACTTTCAGACAATATTGGTAGATCTAAAATACAGGAAAACAAAGTTCTACTTATTTATTAGAATTTCTGTTGACAAATTATAAACATGCCTTTTAAAGCATAGAGCTATGCAGTGAATCACACATTTAACATGCACAATTTTCTGCAGATACCATATGGTTGATAAAATCATACGTGTTTGTTTCCATTGATACTAAATCATACCAATGATATGCAGAGAATGTTAGATGAGCACCCTCAGCCTGGCACTGCCAGTATCTCGGGTATTAATTGGTATTAAAGATGTCTGGGCTGAAGATGCTGTGGCATCCCCATTCACTGTTACATGGTTTGGAAATAGTTTAACAATAAAAAGGGATGATGCTTGGGAACTCCAGACACCTTAACTATTTTAATGAGTTGAAATGTTCATCGAACATGCACAAATAAAATAAATAACGTTTTTACTTTACAAAACGACCTATCTTAGGAAAAATTTAGCAACTAAACATGGGGATTTGGTTACACCATATGGCCTTGTCGTGTTATGCCCACTATTATACCACAGTACCTCAATATTTGTGAGTCCTATGCTATTTTAATAAGAGAAATAAACATGCTAACTGCAATATGTACTATTTAAACAGCTTCCAGAGACTCCTCAAATTAATGCTTTACTGTAGTCACCTCCAAAGGGGCAATGTTCTCTGCACCTGGATGTGAGAGCTGGGAGTTCTATTAGCTCTCCTGAGCTAAGCCCTGCCATGAAGAGACACCACATTGGCTAAGAGTATCACCTAATTGCGCTCAGTCAATGTGCCGACAGGCTTGGCTCAGTGAAGAGAACTACCAGCTGCAAAGAAGCAGGGAGTAGAGCCCTGATCCCACATAAAAAAAAAAAAAATCAAACCACTAGCTAACACATGACTACTTCCACTGGGGGGAGGGGAGTGTCAGGGCACTCCTGGCACTATAACCACTACTTAAAGTGTTCCGGTTTTCATCCTCATTGTGTTGCCTGGTTGTGCATGGACAAGCATCACTTTGAGACAACCGTCTCATTCAAAAGCTTGAAGTTTGAATGAAACAGTTGCCTCACTCTGTAGGCTGAGAAAAGCAGGACGATTTTTCTTCTTGTTTGACTGCTTCTTCTTTCTTACGCTTTCCACACCCACTCCTGAGGAAACAATGATATAACCAGTCACTGTCCTATTCCTAAGAATGCTGCAAAGTGCATTAGGCATGGCTGACAGATTTACACATTGCAGTTGGTAGATCTCTTCAGCTTGCTACATCCTGATGCGGGAGAAGAGATGGCATCTGATCAGTGTGATTATGCAGAGCAGGCACTGATATTAGGTTTCCCTCTCCTGATGCTGCACAATGATGCCCCTTTCTGTCATTAGTGGACTGGTCTAAAATGGAGATAGGTGCGTAAGGGGTTGAGAGAGGCTGAAGAAACTCCCCTAATTGAGATGTGTGCAGATAATGCAATAGTTTTGAAATGGAAAAATCTATCAAAGTATTGATTATTTCTTTGTGTATCTGCCCCTAGCCAAATCAATGAAACAATGCGTGCACGCTCCCTGAAGTAATTCACACCAAACACAGGTTCCAGGTTGTTGAATAACTTGAGGAATGTTTATTCAGAGGGGACGGCAGGTCCCTTTTAAAGCAGAATTAAATCATAAGCATTGTCAGAGATAACATGGAATAATACATCAATAATTGGTTAGGTGTTAAGTGGTCTTCCTAATGCTCTGCCTACTAAGGGTGATGTCACCAGGACCATGAGGGTCTCCCACGGTTTCCCGGCGCCATCTTGCTGCACGAGGTAGTTAGTCGGTGTTAAAGGGGAGGGGAGGAGGGGTTAGAAGCTTCTAGCAGCCATCTTGATTAAAACATGTGTGCATAATTTTTATGTAATGTATCGTGAAATGAGTAAATAGACATTTTTACTAACTAGGAAATATGTGCAGACCTTATTTCCACAACAAGTTTATAGTAAGTTTATAAGTGTTTATTACATACCTAAATTTTTACTTGCTTTAGTTTGGTTTGTATATTTTTGTATATAAGTGTTTGCTTGCTTGGTTAAAAAAATAATTGTCAAATAATGTGTGTCCCTTTAACTTGAATATCACTTACTAAATCTTTTAATATACATTTAAAATGAAAAAGGCATTACGTGAAAACTGTTAACACGAGTTAAAGGTAATTTTCAGTGCTTTATGAAATGGTGTAATTTCCAGAGGAGCAACAGCTCTCTTTTTAAAACTATAGGTGTACAGTAAAATATGTTTCCAATATTATTTTATAATATTCAATAAAGTGCATTTTATTCCATTATGCCTCATTTATGATTTTATAAAAATGTGTCACTGGCTTCAAGCCATTTTAACAACAAACCTAATTAGCTGGAGACTGTCACATGACATCCTGTGCACCGCCTACTATATAGCTTAACAACAAACATTTTGCCGTTTAAACTTCAATAGGCATAATAAAGATTTAATTAGTAAAAATGTTTTAAAATGTTTTCAATAGGGTTGTGGTAACTGCAGTTGCATCTTTTTAATTGAAAGTCACTTTTTTGAAAAAGGGACATCGAAGGCTTTTGAAAGGTTTAGATATACCCTCTATAATGTAAGCTCATTGAGCAGGGCCCTCCCCCTCTCTGTTCTAGTACGTCCAGTTGTCTGGTTACAATTACATGTATGTTAGTCCACCCATTGTACAGTGCTACAGAATTTAATGGCGCTATATAAATAATAAAATAATAATATATAGTTATAAGACTGTGCATTACATTTGTATTTAACAATATCAAAAGGCAAAAGAGTTACAGCCAGCAAGGATCATGAGAAGATATATCAAGTCCAATAAAAAATATCAGGAATCCCACAGGAATGAACGTTCAGAGAAATTAGATGACAAATTTAATGTATACATTTAAAAAACTCTTTTTAGATTCTTTAAAATCTACTATCTACCACTAACAAACATTGCATTTTAAAACTTGCAGATTATTTTCTTAAATGATACATTCAATTAGTGGAGAGACAGACTCGAGCATAATTTATGCAATTTTTTATCATTTATAGATACTATAATAAAATTCAATGTACCATACCTAACACCGATCCTTTCAGAAACTCTACTGAGCCTTCAACACCAGCTGCCTTCACATTATCAACTGCATTTTTCAACTGTGAGGCATTTATATCCATTCCCAGGAAGTGTACATGCTGTTAAATAAAATAAAAACTAACGATGATAAATACAATACAGTTAAAACCATAAAATGAAAATGGTATGCGTGTTACAGTAGATCTCACATTTAAAACTTGACATTTAAAAAATTATTAGTACAAATTATTTTATTTATTCCATAAAATAAACTTGCAATAAGATTTCTATGAAACACGTGCTTCCCTGGGCAGTGGGTACTCAATATAATAATGTATACAAAAATAAATAAATATCTATATTGGTGTCCTCACTCTCCATCATCTTTATTCACCACATTTGCTCTAGTGTTCTTTCCTCATCTATTTCATTTTCAATCTCTCTGCAAGTATTTTTTTTTACCAGGTACAAATATATATATATATATATATATATATATATATATATATATATATATATATATATATATATATACACACACTTTATTTTTTAACTCTCCAAGACTGTTGCACTCTTTCCCCACCCCTCTAATGTTTGCTAAACTAGGCCTCGATGTAATATTTTCCGACAAACTTTTGAAAAGATTTTTTTCAAAAAATAAAACAATTTTCAAAAGTCATTTTAACATTTTATTGAAAAATGAAAAATAATTTCAAAAAATTATCCAAATTAAATTATTAATTTTCTCTTTTCCCTGCCTTCCCCATCTCTTTTTTCCATTCCTCACATCTTTCTCCCACCTGTGTCTTCAAGTTTCTTCCCTCATGTGATGACCAACCTGGACATGTCTATCAGAAAATTGTAAAGGACATAAACGGATATGGCCAGGTACTGGAGGTAGTCTGAGGTACACAGAAGGTGGACTTCGATCAGTGTCATAGTTGTTGTGCATTTGTTTCACACATTGCTTTTTGGAGGTTTGGATGTTGTCTAATCTGTAGACAGTTCTCTATATTGCAGCAGGAGATTGTATCTTTGAAGTCTGAGATTTGTAAATGATCTGTTAAACAAACTCAGGCTGGGACTTTTGCAAATCCACTGCTGCAGAGATGTCCTAGGAATGGCAGATGGATTACTGTAGAATCTGGTAGACTTAGAGATGTGGACAAAAAGGCATACTGCACAGTCTGTATCTTTACATAATTCATTTTCTGCACTTTCAGATTATAGTGGTGTTACGGAGACAGGCTCAGGTACAGAGTGTGTGGAACCATCATCCTCTATGCCTAAGGTGAGCAAGAATGCAGCCAATGAAAAAAAGGACAAGGTGAGGCCTGATAGAAAGCAGTTGTTGTTGGGGGTTTCTATCTTAAGAGGTGTGGAGTTGGACAATAGTGGCTTTGTGAGATGTCTTCCTGGAGCTACTGCTCACAGAGACAGGAGACCTATTTGTAATATTGAGAAGCAAGCAGAGCAGGAAGGGGAATCAGATGTACTTGTCCATCTTGGGACAAATGATTTGGCTTGTAATGTGGTTTCTGAGGTAAAGGAAGTGTTTTATGTTCTTGCCAATGATATACAGTAGGTTGTGTCCACAGTGTCATTCTCTTAAGTTCTGCCTGTGCATAACACTCAGAACGACAGGCGGATGCGTATTAGGGACTTTAATTTGTGGCTTGGTGAATGGTGTTGGGAGCAAGGATTTGCCTTTGTTTCTCATGGTAGCTCTATTTGGAATACAAATGAACTATACAAAAAAGATGGTTTGCAAAATGGAACAAATGTTCTCAAAGAGCAGTTCAGAGGTTTTGCTAGAAAGTATTTCAACTAGGAGGGGGGGACAAAAGGGTGATAAACATCAATCCAATTGACCCCCAAAGCAAGGACAGAAAGTAACTAGCGAGTGTGTTAAAAAATTATAAGCTTAAAGTCATGTCTACAAATGCTCACGGATTAGGGAATAAGATTCATGAACTTGTGGCAATAATGGCAACTGAGAATGTAGATTTAGTGGCAGTTACTGAGACATGGTATAATGAGAAGAATTACTGGGATATAGCAATACTAGGGTACTCTTTACATAGAAAAGATAGAGAAGGCAAAAAAGGGGGAGGGGTGGCCCTGTATGTGAAGGATAGCATAAAATCTAAACTAATAAAAGTTAGTGAGGCAAACATGGAGTCCATTTGGGTTACGTTAGAATTTGTAAATCACACAGTAATTCGTGTAGGTGTGATTTACAGGCCCCCTGGACAAATAGAAGAGTTAGATAATCTACTAGTTGAGGAAATAGCTAAAATGACAATGAAGGGCGAAGTTATTATCATGGGTGACTTTAATCTTCTGGATGTGAACTGGAAAACCAAAACAGCTGCTTGTGCCAGGAGCACACATATGCTAAACTCCCTACTGAGATTGTCTCTAAAACAAGTCGTTGAGGAACCAACTCATAAGGAGGCCTTACTAGATTTAGTGTTAAAAAATGGAGATTTAGTATCAGATATTACTGTAGGTGAAAGTTTAGGATCTAGTGATCACCAGTCAGTGTGGTCACACCACACAAAAACAAAAGTTTTAGATTTTAGAAAACCAGACTTTTCTAAAATAAGAATATGCATAACGATTCCTTATCAGACTGAGCAGTTTAAATGGAGTTCAGGAGATATGGGATTATATAAAAGTTGCACTACTGAAAGCAACAGAGTCGGTTGTATAGGGAGAGGCATTAGCAGTAGAAAGAGGGAAGTGCTCATGCCATTGTACAGAACACTTGTGAGACCTCACTTGGAGTAGTGTACGCAGTACTGGAGACCATATTTTCAGAAGGATAGTGATAATTTGTAAAGAGTTCAGAGAAGGGCTACTGAACTGGTTCATGGATTTCAGGATAAAACTTAACAGGAATAGCTTAGAGGAAAGACGAGACGGGGGGATATGATAGAAACATTTAAATACATAAAAGGAATCAACACAGTAAAGGAGGAGACTATATTTAAAAGAAGAGAAACCACCAAAACAAGAGGACAGTCTTAAATTAGAGGGACAAAGGTTTAAAAATAATATCAGGAAGTATTACTTTACTGAGAGGGTAGTGGATGCATGGAATAGCCTTCCAGCTGAAGTGGCAGAGGTTAACACGAGTTTAACCCCTTAAGGACACATGACATGTGTGACATGTCATGATTCCCTTTTATTCCAGAAGTTTGGTCCTTAAGGGGTTAAGCATGCGTGGGATTGGCATAAGGCCAGGGACTAATCAAAAGTATTTCGAAGTGGGCAGACTAGATGGGCCAAATGGTTCTTATCTGCCTTCTCATTCTATGTTTCTATGACCAATATAAACAAGTAAACACTAGCATTACCTACCCGTGCATGTTAAAAGAGAATTTCTATAAATATGAAGTGAATTTTAAATTGTAGACCAATGCAGATAAACTGGTAGCATACCTGACCTGGGGAACTTTTCCAATCTATCTATTTTAACCTGGATTTTGAAAAAGTGACAGGGTTAAAGGGACCCTATAGGCACTTTAGCTCATTGACGTGGTCTGGGTACAGTGTTTACATTGCAGCACTAAGTCTGCCTCCAGTGGCTGTCAGCTAACAGACCTTTGGTCCGGTAATGGACGCTGGACATGCTCACGCTCTGCATTTTCCCCATAGAAAATAATTAATTGATTAATTTGCAGAGCAAAGCTGTATTTCTGGCACTATAGCTGAAACCCTTTACTTACTTACCGGATCGGTGCTGGAATCAGGTAAGTAAATAAAGGGTTTTAGCTATAGTGCCAGGAATACAGCTTTGTATTCCTGGCATTAATAGTATCCCTTTAATTACCAGGTTTACATTGGTCATTTAGCACCTTTTAAGCATGGTTTCAGTTGCATCACTGCTTCTCTTTGGTATCTTTATTGGGGATCGACCGATACTGATATTTTGTATATTTACCATTAAAAAAAATAAAATAAAAATTACTATCTCTACACAAATCTACTGTTAATTCAACATGTTTATTATTAATTTTTTTTTTTTTTTATTAAGGTAAATGCACAAAATATACATACCAGCCAGAATTTTTTATGTTTTCAAGAATATATGTGCGTGTAATGGATACAGTGAGAGTATTTGATTAGTGAATGCAGTGTGTGTGTGTTTGTGTAGTGGATGAAGAGTGTGTATATGTTTGTGTAGTGTGTGTGTATATAGTGAATGCAGTGTGTGTTTGTGTAGTGTGTGTATAGTTAATGCAGTGTGTGTTTGTGTAGTGTGTATAATCAACGCAGAGAGTGTGTGTTTGTTTGTGCAGTGTGTGTATAGTAGTATGTATAAAATGTAGGGGCTTAAGGGGGGGTTTTTTAGTCCCCCCTCCCTGCTTCTTACCTGGCCAGGGAGGGATGGCATTCCCTTGGGGGTCCCAGCACACTCTTACTGACCTTTACAGCAGTTCCCTTCAGCTCCCCCAGGACCCTGGCCCGCATTATCGGCAATATCGGTATCTTTATTGCTGAAAATACAGAATATCGGCCTATATCGGCCAGACCGATAATCAGTCGATCCCTAATCTTTATACCTCATATTATCTTCAGTTTTAGCTTATAAATGTGATGTCTTTGTGTTGGTAGCAAATGTATCCCAGATTGGGACAGAAATGTTATTACCTTTTCTCTAAACTTCCATTTATATTTATTGCTGAAGATTGCACCTGGGTGGAAAGGGACATGCCAAGTTAAAGTTACAAGACATGCGCGAGCACACACAATATATATATATATATATATATATATATATATATATACACACACACATACATACCTACATATACACACACACACACACACCCCAACACAGAGAGTCTGTGTTCATATGTGACCCTATCAAGAGAAAGATTAATGCAAATCTTAAAAAGTACAAATTTACATTAACAATGGACTTAAAATTACATTTAAATATGCAAAATATATATTCAACAAATCGAACTTTTGATATTTTAAGTCAATAAAAACACTTATTAACATACAGGCCACTCCTTTGCAGCTTCCAACAATATTGTTCCCACACCACACATAGGATCAAGGACAATAGTTTTGGCCTGTAAGATAAGACAAAATGGGACGTCAACAAGAATACTACAATAATATTTTAAAACTCCTAGTATAACCTCAATGCAAAGGAAGACTTGAGGAAACGTACAAATAAATTTAAGCTCTCTTTATTTCCCTTTGCTGTGTTTCACAGTTCTCGCCAATCCATTCTTCTCTGTTTTCCTTATATACTCTCCCCACATGCAGACTCACCAACCTGCAAAGCATACTGTAGTATTAGTGCATGTTTTTGCACTTGCAATGGATATACGAGACCTGTGTTTGATCAGTAAAACTGAAAATTTACCCATAAACCTAAAAAGGAAACTCTTGTGGCATTACGGTACCTTTGAAAATAGAGGACAACAAACTAACAGCAAAATGTGAACAAATGGTTCTGGGTACAACTATAATTCCACTCACAGGATTATAGTCATACGGTATATAAAAACAAATAGCAGCCTGCAAACTCTGATTCTTCCTAGTTAGAAATTTAGCCAGGGTCCATACTTTAAATAAAGTCTTCTCTTCCTCCACTACTATTTCCTGCACACTCTTTATCTTAGCCCTTTAACCCCTTAAGGACACATGGCATGTGTGACATGTCATGATTCCCTTTTATTCCTGAAGTTTGGTCCCTAAGGGGTTAATACTACTTAGGGGTGTTATTTAGTACCTTCATATATTTTTATGCATACATCACAGAGAGAAAATATACTAAAAAAATATACTAGCTGCATGTCCTAGAATATATTCCACTTACACTGATTTCAGCAAGTGTCACCATGGCCCATGCAGTTGTAGATCGCAGACCTGTACTCTGAATATATGCTCTATTTGCCAAAGGCTGCCTAAAGAACAATGATAATGAAGAATGCATTGTTAAATTATACACTTATACTTGGAAGGTGTAGAGGTAAGATAGATAGATAGTGCAAGAAAAGCTTGGCAAGGGGGCAAAATGTTAATCAACGCAGTAACCCTTTAAGATTTGCACTTGTATAAAATATATAAAAAAAATAAAAATAAATAAAGTTTCCCTTATGGCTTCATTGAGGGTTAGGATGGGCATAGAACTGCAGACATTTTCATAAAGATATTGTAGCTGTAATGAAATGGACAGATGAAGACACTGGAAATAAACTCCTTGCACCCTACCCAATGAGAAGGACTAGTTATGGTGCTTAGAATGTCATTTTCAATGGACACTCTGGAGTCAGAGTTGCAAGAATGTATTTAAACATTTATAGGTACATTGAAAGCAATATCAATTTTGAAGCGTTCTTTTAAATAAACAGAAAATAAAACAAACAGAATAACAACAATTACCTCATTATTGGAAATCCCACCACTGAATAAAGGTCATTGATATGCACAAATACCTATTAGATAAAATACAGTGAGAAGTAAATGAAAGTAGCATTTAAACACATGAAATGTAAATATTCTCACACACACACACACACACAAAAAAAGTATTTTATTGAATTAAGGTCTTTTTTCCCCCCACATTCAAATTCATTTGCTAAACAGACAAATAAATAAATAATGGCAGGTTTCATGACGCATAATCAAGCTCTTAAAGGAACTCTGCAGTGTTAGCAATGCAAATCTGTATTTCTAAAGCTATAGTGTCCCTTTTCCTAGATCTATATGCCCCAGTTCCTATTTGAATATGGGCATTTATCTGTACCCACACATGTAGATGACCAAACCCAATCTTTCCCATACATGCTTATGTATATATGTGAGAGTGTGGGTATTACTGAGATCAAATCGGTTGAGTTAAAGGGACACTATAGTCACTAGAACAACTACAACTGGTAAGTAGAATCTTTCCCTTCAGGTTTTTTGCAATAAACACTGTCTTTTCAGAGAAAATGCACTGTTTAAATCACAGCCTAGTGATACCTCCATTGGCCACTCCTCAGATGAGCAGCACTGCCATTCAGTGTCTTCACCCTCTGTATGCAGCCACTGAATTTACCTCATAGAGATGCATTGATTCAATTAATCTCTATGAGGAGGTTTTTTATCCATTTATAAAGCCTTATATTGGTGAAACACGTTTGGATATTATACTGTTTTTATATACTGTTAATAAATAGATTTTGGTCACTTTTTACGTTTATACCATTATCTTTTGACTATTAGCTGGCCTTTTATATATATTTTATATTATATACATTTTATATACTTTTTCCTTTTATTTATTTTACTTCCTGGTATTATACTCCAAAGAATCCCAAGCCTGCCCTATACACTGCGAGTATATTTTATTATTTTATACATCAACAATATTTTATTGAGAGCACTATCGCTGTTTTATCTTCTCTCCGAGCTCCTGATACTACCATCAAGAACACTCATCTTATATCCTACAAGCGGGGATTATACCGCTGGACACCTACAAAACTAGAGCTAGCAGAAGCTCTACCGAATGTGAGTGTATCTATTATATTTTAGCATCTTTTATTTCACGTGTGGAACATACTGCACCATTATTGTTTTTATTTTTATCTCCCACTTGGCCGTCTGTCACTACATAGAAGAGGCTACTCGCCGTATATCCTGTAAGCGGGGATAATACCGCTGCAAGCCATTCACACCAGAGATGGATTAAGCTCTGTCAACTGTAAGTAAGACCTCTCCTATTTTTACTATGTTGGATCATTTTTCTCATCACTCACCACCTTCCTCCACATCTTTTGGATACCGTAACAAGTAGAACCCTACAACTTCGGAGACACCATATAAGATTCAATTGGACTTGTTATTGTTATTTATTTTGTACATTGGCGCAGACCCATCCCCTATTTATTTGTTTTTTGCTTATCTATTCCTAAAGACATTTGAGGGAGTCCTTGTTTGGGACTGCTGCCTCTCCGATTAGCGCTGACTCTACTCTCTGTTTTGTTATACTGTAGGGAGTGTAGGAGGAATAAATAAGCTAGGATAGTATAATGTGAGAATGGAAATGGGAAGTAACCCCGGTATCTCTGGGAGTATGCAGTGTTTTCTATACGACTGTGGTTTAGTCAAGGTCAAGGTTTATTATCTCTGGGTCGTGAGCGAAGCGAGATTGAGTAATATTGACTGTATCCTGGGTGGAAAGTAGCATTACAACATTTCATAAAATGAATGCCAGATTTGCATGGGAGTCTATAGGAGCATGCTTGTTGATTGTCATAGTAGTATATACAGTATAGTATATATCCCATATCTGGTAACAGGCTGGCATGGGGATCGTTATGAGCAGGTGCGCTGATACAGGGTGGGTCTGTGTTCCCCAATTCATCATCACCGCTCATCGGTAGCTCATTGGCAGTGCTACAGCTAGAGGTGGAATAGGGAGATTGAGAGGTGACCCAAGGGAGGGGCATACCTATGGTCTATGGTAGCGTGGACTTCATTCCTGTCTGTGTAGATTAGGGATCAGGCGGTGGGGATTGGGTTTAGAGCAGTATCGGTGGGTCTCAGAGAGATCAGGGTAGGGGGGGGGGAGAGAGAGTGAGAGAAGAGAAGAAAAAAAGCGGAGGGGAGGGAGATAAGGGGTGGGTTGGTGGGCGAATGTCATCGCCCCTCCTCCACCACGCCTCGTAGTTCGTCCAGTGGGGCAGGATTCTGGTCCTGTGGGGTCCTAGACACACCTATCTGGTAGTCAGCCACCGCAGCCAAAGAAACCAGATCTTCTGGTATATCTGATGTCTCCCTCTTGCAATCAGGATAAGTTCCTCAATGGACCGCATATACTCTACTCTGTTGACCCAATCGTCCATGGAGGAATCAGGCTGCACGCTGTATTGATCAGGTATGGGGTGATTGTCTTCTTGTAAATAGCCAGCGGTAGGTGGGTCAGGTGGAACAGATAGCTCTCAGGGAAGAGATCAATCGAGTTATCCGTCAGTGTGGAGACTATACGGTGCACCTCCCCCCAGAGAGGCTGAATCCGGGGCAGACCCACCAGATATGGAACAGCGTGCCTAGCCCACTGCCACATCTCCAGCACTCCGGCGCACACGAGGTGTGCATGAATGCAAGTTTCTCAGGTGTTTTATACCAGTGAGATATCATTTTGTATCCAGATTCTTGGTACTTCATGCTGATGGAGGTTTTATGTGTCATCGTGAAGGCATTAATCCATTGTTCTTGCGTCAAGGGGTGACCAAGGTCTCCTAATGCCTGACGAAACAGGGAAGTTGAGACTTCCCTGTGTTGAGTTCAGGAGTCGGTATAGCAGGTAGATGGCGTGTGGTGGGGGTGCGGATTGGGTGCATATGATTTCAAAAGTAGTAAGTGTTCGCGCTGCTGAGGGCAGATTTGGGATTTGCTAAAGCAGGCGGACTAGCTGGTGGTATCTGAAGTGTGTTAGTAGACTCGGGGGTTCGGGTATGGGCAGTTCTGTTAGTGGGATGAAGTTCCCGTTGGCTAGCACATGTTGGAGCCTACAGGGTGATGGCATTCTGAGGCTGATCATGGTTCTTGTGGAGTTGATGATGCGGAACGATGGGTTGCCAGTGATGGGGTAGAGGGGTGAAATATGTGGCGAAAGGTTCAGCTTGTCAGATATCCTCTTCCAGATAGCCAGGATGGCAGCTATCGTGGGGAGCGTATGTAGAGGCAGTGTTGAGAAGCTATGGCGATCCAAAGCTTGTCCTTTGGTGCTAAGGATCATTCGGTGATAGGTTTATAGTTTGGTGATATTTGACCAGATCAGTGAGATACCCAGTCCGCCCAGTGGTTTGGGTTTTATTAGAATGCCATTTTATCCTGGCAGTCTGGTTTTGCCATACATATTGTGTAAAAGCCTTACGTACTTGGGTGAAGGAGGTCTGGGGGACAAAGATCGGGAGCGTCTGTAGTAGATATAGGAAGCGTGGTAGTACATTCATTTTAAGAACGTTCACTCTTCTGAGCCAGGTGATATGTGTTCCGGACCACTTCGCTACAGTGAGCCATATGCCCAGATATTTGATCGCGTCTTTACACCATTGAAATGGGAATTGCGTCTTCAGGGATGCGATTAAGGTGCGGTCACAGCCCAAATGCAATATCTCGGATTTTGTGTAATTGATTCGCAGGTTTGAGAGAGAGCTGTATTTGTTGAATTCCTGCATGATGGCCAAGAGTGAAGATTGCGGGTTCCGCACTGTGAACAGCAAGTCGTCAGCATTGGCCGATATCTAGCTTTCACCCGACTTGCCTCCTATGCCTTTGATGTCTGATCGCTCCTGAATCGCATGTAGAAAGGGTTCCAAGCTTAGCAAAAACAGCAAGGGCGAGTACCATTTCGTATCATAAATGGGCTGGACAGTTTGCTGTTCACGTAGACTTGTGCCTAAGGCTTATTGTATAGAACTTCAAACCATGCTCTCATGTTCAGGCCAATTCCCAGTTGTTGCAATGTCACAAACAAGAAGGTACAATCCACCCTGTCGAACGCCTTCTCCGCGTCAGTGGATACCAGGAGTGAGGGGGTAGATCTTGTCCGGGCTGCAGGTATCAGGTTGATTACTTTGGTGGTGTTGTCCCTGGCTTCCTGTTTTTTTACAAATCCCAACTGACCCGGGTGGATCAGTTTTGGCAGGATGGCTTGGATGCGGAGTGCTAGAATCTTCGCAAAGAGTTTCAGGTCGGTGTTCAACAGGGAGATTGGCCTGTAGCTTGGGCACGTTCTGGGGTCTTTACCTTCCTTTGGCAACACTACAATGTGTGCCATTAACGCATTGGGATCGAGGGTCCCACCATCCTTAAATCACATTGGACATGCCAAGTAGGTGAGGTGCTAGTGTTTGGAAGTAGGTTTTGATAATATTTGATGGTGCAGCCATCAGGTCAGGGGCTCTTTCCATTCTTGGCTAGTTTCAAAGCCAAAGACAGCTCTTCTGCTGTAATCGGGTCCTCCAGGGAGCAGATCATGTCTGCATGAATCCTGGATTTAAGGTGTGTGGTTAGATACGTTTTTTGTGCAGCAGTTCTGCTTGTGTCAGGGTCTCTGGTGTCCGTGTCGTGTTTGGGGAGATTGTACAGGGATTCGTAGAACAACCGGAATTCCTCAGCAATTGACTTTGGGGTGACTCAAGAGGTTCCGTTGTATTTCTGATATGAAGCTTTTCTGACTGGATTTCCTCAGGGCTTTTGCCAGTATCTTACTGCTTTTGTTACCATAATCGTATAATGTTTTCTGTGCCTATCAGAATTGAAAGGCGATCCTTTGGGAGAGGTGTGAATTCAGGTCTGCCCTGGCTGTAACCAGTTGTTTATCATCTACTGGGGTTTTATGATGCCATTCCAGTTCCGCTATTTTCTGTGATAGATCTGAGGTTTCCTGTGGTTTTCTTTTTTTGTATATTAAATGTATTGTTCAGTTGACAATTATGTTTCTTTTCCACTCTTCTTCAATATGTAATGTTTTCAAGTAATTTTTGGATAAATATAGGGATTTAAACCTTCTAAAAATTAATAAGGTCAAGACAAGATAAACGGTCATCCAAAGGCTTTTCTCCTATCTCACAACTCAATATAAATTATTTCATTCCCATGGAAATTAATCAAGTTAGAAAGACAGATCAATTAACTTTCTAAAGGAAAGAGAACACACAATTTGTATTAGTCCCTAAACTATGTAAGGCAGGACCTATTACAGGAAACAACACCCAATAAATTAGTAGAACAGCCAAGTGGATGAGATGATTTTGTTTCTCCATTCACTTTAAATCAGAGCAGGATCTACATGACTCCAATAAATGAATATGGACACAAAAGGAATGCTTGCCTGTTGATAAATTATAAAATTAGATTCCCATTTAACCCATTAAGGACCGGACTGTTCTGGTCATGTTGTACGTTAGGGACCAGGGCTGTTTTAACACTTTCGTGGTGTTTGTGTTTAGCTGTAATTTTCCTCTCTCTCATTTACTGTTCCCATACAAATTATATATTTTTTTTCAGGACAAGAAGGGATTTCTTTACATACCATTATTTGTATCATTTCATATAACTTACTTTAAAAAAATATAATAAAATATGGTGAAAAAAAAAACAAAAAAAAAAAAAAACATGTTTTTTGACTTTTACTTGAAAAATCGTTTACTCCTCTACAAAAACTAATGAAAAAAACTGCTAAATAGATTCCAAATTTTCCCAAGTTTAAAAACACCCAGTGTTTACATGCTTTTTTGCAAGTTATAGTGCTATAAGTACAAGTAGGACATTGCTGTTTCAAAATATATATTTTTAAAATTTATCAATAGTGACATTGTAACACGGTTATCTGTCATAAATCTCTGAATCACACCTCACATGTACATATTTATTTTTTTTAAAGTAGACAACCCAGGGTATTCAATTTGGGGTATGTCCAGTCTTTTTTAGTAGCCACACTGGCCAAAATTAGCGTTCAAATTAGTTTTTTGCATTTTTGACACACAAACAAATATGAACGCTAACTTTTGGCCAGTATTTGTGACTAAGTGGCTACTAAAAAAGACTGAACATATCCCATTTACAATACTTTGGGTTGTCTTTCTTTTGCAAATAGTATGCCATCATGGGGGTAATTCTCATTCCTGGGCTACCATATGCTCTTGTGGTAAAAGCTACAGGATGTTTAAGAAAAGTTAAGTATTCAAATGGTTAAAACTACTGTGCAACTATCTAAAACAAGGGCGCATGTGTGGAATGTCAGGAATGTCCACTATTAAATAACATATGTAAGAGATACATTTTAGTTTAATAATTGGATGTAACTATTAGACATGTGCGATTCGTTTCGGTCCAAATTTAAATTCGGCCGATTTTCGGCAATTTGGACATTTGGGTGCTTCCGATTGTCGAAACTGGCGAATTTCGGAAGTGTTGAACCAAATCGAATTGCCGAACTTTGACAGTGCCAAAGTGCTTCGGATTTCTGAAAAGTGGCAAAACAGGAGAGGGAGGGAAAATTAAGGGAATGATGACAGGAATTTAACCCTAACTCTACTCCAATCCTACTAGGGTTTGGGGTGGTGTTGGGGTTAGGGGCAAGGTTAGGGTTAGGCAATTACCGAAGTGCCTTAGTCCCGAATTCAGGAAGTGCTGAGCTGAAACAAATTTTTTGCCCATGCACATCCCTAGTAACTATAGTAATGTGGGTGTAATTTTTGTATACGTATGGAGTATGTCATTTGTGGTATATATTCTTTGTTCTCTTGTAAATGTGTGCTCAGTCAGGTATTCCAAGACTATTGTCTGACTGAGATTTTGCAGCTGCAAAACAATAAATAGCCTTTGTTCTTCAACGACCTGTGTCTGGAGTCATCTCTGACCCAAAAATTCTTCCACACTCTCAAAGGCAACATAACCAAATTGCAATGTGAAAAATCAAGGCTTATATATGACCCTGTAACTTTCAAAAACCTGTACAAGGGGTGGTTGGGGGAGGAGGGGTAGTGTTATACTCGGGAGACTTCACTGAACACAAATATTAGGGTTTCAAAACAGTAAAATGTACCACAACAATATCATCAGTGAAAGTGCTGTTTGTGTGTGAAAAATGCATAAACCGTCACTTTCACTGACAATATCATCACCAGGGGAGGGCTGGCAGCCTTAGGCCTGGGGGGCAAAACCAGTCAAGTGGCCCATTGCACCACCAAATCAGTTCACCATCCATGCCCACCTTTTCCTGGTTTTATAACGGATATTGATGTTATGCTAATCAGTAGCTCTTTGCCATACCCGCTCCTTCACGGCTCCAGGCACTGCTTGTTGTGAGTGTGAGCCACTGTAAATTAGGGGCAGAGGGCACTTGCACTGCGGTAAAGATGGGGCTGGACAGGAGGAGAGTGCAGTGCAATCAGTGCACTCCCCTCCTGTGGGTCACCAGTAGACTGGTGCACCTGCCCAGGATCAGTGCCGGTGCAAGGATTTTTGCCGCCCTAGACAAAATAAAAATTTGCTGCCCCCCCATGTGACATCACAATGCCCCACCCATATGAACTAACGCCAGTGCTGCACACAGTGTGTGTTTACATTAAAAAGCCTGCAGGGACCAGCTATAGACACCAGAACCACTTCATTAAGCTATAGTGTCCCTTTAATGTGAGGTACATTATAGATTAGCGTCACTAATAATATACTAGATTGCCTACTTACAAGCAGATGAGGATGATGATGGGCTGCAGATTGGCTCCACTGGTCTGGTGTAGAACAGGATCTCTGGAGGCTGTTTGCAGCTGTGGTCACAAAATTCAATGTTCTGGGAGAATTGGAAGCAGCTCCATTTTTTGGGGCCCCTTACACAGCTCAAGGTCTGGGCCCCAGGGCCTGACGGTGAGTATGCCCATAAGGCCCACTCATAAGTTCCACCCACCCATGAGTTCGCTCACAGGGAGTGGAGTGTGTAGGGGATGTGTTATGTGTTATTGTAGAGGATCTAATATGTGTGCTTATGGTATGTAGTGTATAGGGTTACCAGTTTGTGCAGGTGATGTAGTGTGTTTGTGTGTAGTGGAAGCAGTGTGTATTTGTGTATAAGGGATGTATTACGTGTTTCTGGTTGTGTGTAAGGGATGCATTGTGTGAATCGGAGTGCAGCTCGGCCACGCTACAGGGGAGGGGAGGGGAGAAGCTGCAGCCGCCTGAGGTTCTTAACAGAGCGCTCAGGCGGCTGCAGTATTTAAAGGGCCGGCCCGCCGCGGCCGGCCTTACAGGAATTTAGGGCGGCCTGGGGGGCAATTGCCTCCCTGCCCCCCGGCCCAGCCCGCCCCTGATCATCACTGTGATAGGTTTTACTGTTTTGAAACACTAATATTTGTGTTCAGCGAAGTCTCCTCAGTAAAACCCTACCCCCCCATGTACAGGTTTTAACGTGTCTTGGATAGTTACAGGGTTAAATTTAGTGCAAATTAAATTCTCTGGACTTTCGGCCTGGGTTTTCAGACATGTCCCTCAAATTGCAATCAATAAAATTACTTAATTATGTAATAATATTACATAAATATGCACGTAGAATTTAATTATATATACATATTTATATATTTGAAGTCTACGTGTAGATTTATGAAATTATTTATGTAATTATGTATATGGACATATGTATATTTCGTATTATTTTTATTTATTTATTTATACATAGATCTATATAATTTCATTCTAAGTGTATTTTGATATAAATATATATATATATTAATATCAACATTACAGTTAGAATAAAATTACATATATATATATATATACACATTTTTAAAATTATTAAAAATTATTTTTTTATATACTTATTTATATTTTATAATAATAATAATATATATATATGTATATGCACAATTTTTGTGCTGAAAAACTCCCACTCGTCTTATGCTCGAGTGAGTGTCTGTATTATGGCAACTTCCATTGCCATAATACAGACAAGGACTGCCGGGCTCATTACAAAAATTTAAATAATAATATAATAAAAATATTAATAATATTAAAATAAAAAAAATAAAATAAAAAAAATAATAATATTAAAATAATAATTTAAAAAAAAAATGCCCACCCCCACCAAGGTTACACACTCTGTATCACATACAAACACTGCATTCATACACACACACTACACACACTGCATTCATTATATACACAAAATAAATATTAAATTAATGAAATTTTTTTAGGATCTAATTTTATTTAAAAATTTACCAGTAGCTGCTGCATTTCCCACCCTAGTCTTATACATGCAGGATTGCAGTGTATAAGGCAGAGGGGACGATACCTGCCTGGAAGGAGAGCTCCACAAGGACCCCAGTCAAGCTTCGGTGACTGGGGCTGAAGTGTTCCAGGGTCCCTGCAAGCTGCTAGAAAGCGGACTGGGCAGAGGTACTCGGTCAGAGTACAGGAGTTCCGTCACATTTATGCATTAATTCGGTGACAAGCATTGGTCCTGCATGAGAGGTGGTGCTTGGCAGCAATATAAGCACTGCCTTTCCTCAGAAAATACAGTTTTCCCCTGCAGACTGAACAATAAAATATCTTCGTACATGAACCACTACATTATGCAGTAGTGGTTCGTGTGCCTACAGTGTCCCTTTAAAAAAGTATATCTACACTGAAAAAAATAGTAATTGGGGGCACACCCAGAACATGCATTTTTAAATAGTGGTGCTGCAGTAAAGACCACAATCTATACAAAAAAAAACAGTTAAAGGAACAACGCACAAACAAAAACAGTTTTAAATTGAACAAGGCTACGCCCCCATACTTATTTGCCAAGATAGGAGACTTCCTTGTAAAATGTAAAACTGCATTTGGTTTTGTGTGTGCACTGTTCCTTAAACTGTAATTTAATAATGTATTTGTCATAGTACAACCTAATTTATTGTGAATTAAAGAGCATTACATTTTAGCTATCTGTTGCTAGCAGAAATGCAATAGATTTAATCCTCTCTAAAAACATCGTCCCTTCACCACGTTATGATCATGTCTTGGGAATAGACCTGTTGCCAGTGAAATGGCAGAGAACAGAGTAACTGGAAGACCAAAATAACTCATAGAAAAGGTGGTTCTCTGCTCCTCGTGACTCCAACAACCAAGATTTTCTCACTCTAGTTGGGTATGGGGCAATACACTAAGGGCAATGTGCAGGGAGTGAAGCCAGTATGTCTGTGTCATCAGAGAGGACAGCCTTGCTAGAATTAGTGTCCGTAAGCAAAGTTAATCACAGAAGAAGGTGGCACGAAAGAGGACCACAGGGAGGTGATAACAGTATAGTAAGAACCATGGATCAACCAAGTGCTGGAGCATAAGGCAAGGTGAGTTTATAATGGCTGCCAAAGTCAATAAATATATACTTAATAACATAGTAGTAGTTTTTGTTTGTTGAAGTGAATCCCTCATGGCTCACTTTAAAGAGCTTTTTTATTATTTTTTTTAGCAAAAGTAAGCAGCAGCATTAATTTTTCTTGCTACACTTCCACGTGGTGAAGGGACGATGTTTTTAGAGAGGATTAAATCTATTGCATTTCTGCTAGCAACAGATAGCTAAAATGTAATGCTCTTTAATTCACAATAAATTAGGTTGTACTATGACAAATACACTATTGTAAGGTGCATGATTAAATAAATAAACCAAATAGATGCTGATGATCAATTAATTTTATGGTTTGAAATACAAATTAATATTATCATATTATTTATATAGCGCCAATGGGTGGACTAACAGACACGTAATTGTAACAAGACAAGTGGATGCACAGGAACAGAGGGGTTGAGGGCCCTTCTCAATGAGCTTACATGCTAGAGGGAGTGGGGTATAGTGACACAAAGGGTATAAGTAGGGGTAATGAAATAGGTTGCTAGAAAAGTATTCACTGAGGGCTTAGTAGGTTATTTTTGACAGTTGTAGGAGAGGTGTCAGGGTGTCAAGGGATGAAAACCTGCCAACAGTTTAATTGATATATTTTCCTGAAGAAGTGAGTTTGCAATTATTTTTGAAGGAATGGAGACTGGGTAAAAGTTTAGCGGAGAAGGGAAGGGAGTTCCACAAAGGTGCAGCCCTGGAGAAGTCTTGAAGGTGATCATCAGAGGTGGATCAGCAAAAAAAAAAAAAAAAAAATAGCTGTGCAGGAGGAATAAAACTGGGTGAGAGCAGGGCCGGACTGGCCCACCGGGATACCGGGAAGTTTCCCGGTGGGCAGCAGCACCTGGGGCTGGGCTGACAGCCCCAATCATCACTGATCAGGCTCCTGTAATCCCGACTGGCCATGTGCGAACTGTGCGGCCGCACAGGGCCCCAGGCGGCTGACACAGCTCACACATGGCCTGCCGGGTTTATAAAAAAAAAAAAAAAAAAAGGAAAACCCAATATTGCGGTGGGGCGGAGCTTAGCGTGCGGCAGGGATGTGGAGGTAAGAAGCAGGTCAGTGTGTGGGTGTGAGACTGCCTGCCTGTGTGTGTGTGTGGATGTCTGCCTCTGTGAGTGTGTGGATGTCTTTGTGTGTATGTGCATCTGCTAGTGAGTGAGTGTGTGTGCACACATCTGCTAGTGAGGAAGCTTCTGTGTGTGCCTGCTAGTGAGTGAGCTTGTATGTGTGTCAGTGAGCTTGTCTGTAGGGATCATGTGTGTGTGTGTGTGTGTGTGTTAGTGAGCTTGTCTGTAAGGAGCATGGGTGGGTCTGAGCCTGTCTGTGGTGAGCATGTGTGTGCAGTGAGCTTGTCTGTAGTGACCATATGTGTGTCAGTGAGCTTGTCTGTGTGTTAGTGAGCTCTTCTGTAGGGAGCATGTGTGTGTCAGTGGGCTTGTCTGTAGTGAGCATGTGTGTGTGACTGTGAGCTTGTCTGTAGTAAGCTTGTGTGTGTCTTAGAATTTGTCTGTACTAAATTTGTGTGTGTACCATTAACCTTGTCTGTGTGTGTCATTGAGATTGTCTGTCAAGGAGCCTATTTGTGTGCATCAGTAAGATTGTCGGTGTCTGCATGTGAGTATTCTTTACTGTATAATTTAATTACCCTGAAAGGACTAATATTTTGAATTAGTAAAAGAAATATACCAAAAATAAATATATATATAACACACACGCAACTACATAGCACAATGAGCTTTGGGGCTCGCATAGATTTTTTTTCCGGTGGCTGCTCCATATCCCCAGTCCAGCCCTGGGTGAGAGACAGCCAAACTCTGCTAACAATTAAGGTTGCTGAAGACCTTTTAATTTCAAGAGTCATACACCATGACAAGACTGTACTTAGCAACAAGACACAATATAGTTATACTGGATCTTTCCTAGGCAGAGGTTTCTAGTTGTGCACTCCATGCTCTTCTAAAGAAACACAAAGAAACAAGCACTGTTGAGGACCACTAACACATTGGTCGGCCAAGGAACCTTCGTGGAGCAGATGAAAAATACATCATACTTTTTTTCCTTCGTAACTGGAAGATGTCCAGCAGTGCTATTAGCTAAGTATTAGCAGAAACTAGCAGGATCCTGGTACACCCACCTACTGTCCTTAGACATCTGGCCAGAAGTGGTCTACCTTTGACATGGAGACAAGGCCTTAAAACACAGGAACTGAGGTGCAAACAAATTGGAGCAGGTGCTCTGGAGTGATGAGTCACAATCTGAAATATTTGTCTTTAGCAGAAGGTAGTTTGCTGAAGGGCAGTGCAAGAACGAGTATCTACAGAACTCAGTAAAGCATGGTGGAAGTTCCTTGCAAGTTTGTGTCTGCAGTTCTGCAAGTAGAATTGAGGATTTTGTCAGAATTAATGGTCTCCTCAATGAACATACAGTAGTACAGGCAGGCACTTGTCCATCATGCAGTACCCTCAGGGAGGGATCTGATTTACTAATACTTGAGCATAAAACTTACCCCAAACATACAGTCAAAGTAATTAAGTACCATCTTCAGAGTAAAGAAGAACAATGAATCATGGAAATTTTGGTAAAACTCCCACAGAGCTCAGAAATCAACATCATCGAATCTGTCTCGTATTACATGAAAAGAGGCTGCCTTAATCCACATAAGAACCGTGTTTAGCTCACCAAGATATTTGTTACAACCTGACGAATTTCATACAAAACTGTGTGCAAGTTTATCTATAATAATATATTTTGTTTTGAAGGCAAAGGCAGTCACACCACATATCGATTTGCATTTTGTTAAATTGATTGAAATAATCTGTTATCATTTCTATTTTTTAAAGCCTTCTTACATTACATTATTTTTCACACCTGTACTTTTTCACAGTAGTGCATATGCATATCAATAATTTGTTTTGCAGAAGCAGATAGTACAGAAGTAGCGAGAATTCCATTGGTGAAGGCAACATTTATTGAAAAGAAAGGACTTGAGATTACAAGTAGAGCACCTATTATTCAAGGTTAGAATTTTGCCACAAAAATAAATAAGTGTTAACAATTGTGCAATGCCATACCCATAAAATTGCTAGCCAAGATTTTTTTCCCTTATTTCCTACCTCTAAAATTGGCTTCCGCAAATCAGGTTTCCAACCAAACTGTCTTACAAGAGCTTTTCCAATAACACGCCCCAGCTCCTAAAGTAAATAAAAAAACAGTGGTCACTTTGCAGTAAGCAGTATTTCATCTGACTGGTAAATTGCACTTTAGAGCTGTTACAATGCATCTTATTTACACAGAATGATTTCTAAACACATTTATTGTAGTTTAAAGATACATTACTGTGCGTACACCAGATATAAATTGAATTGAATGAAACTGGAAATAATATGTTATTTTCTATTGATTAATCTTTTAGGGGCACTTAATTTTTGCCCTTTTGCCCTTTTGCCCATTTATTTTTTTTTTTTACATACAGTGTCGCTATAGCAACACATGCATACGGCTTCATCACAAGAGCGTGGAGCACCTTCACGCATGTTCATATTGCACAGAGGGATGACGGTTTGACACAGTGCAGGGTAAGTTAATTCTCCTATTTAGTCATTATAAGTTGTGATTTAAATTGAATTTGGGGAAACCACTTTAAGGATTCATTTTGTTGAGCTATTTCAGTTGCTTTTGTTTGATTTGTTCATTGCATACAGCTGAAACGCTCTAAATTTTGACAATAAACCTGATTTTCAATGGGGGTTGAATAACTTTGATTACAACTGTAATATAAGGATATATATATCCTCATGTCACAGATGTAGCAATGTTAGCTTTTAACAATCATGCCGCAGAAACAAAATGAGTTTTTAACAAAGTAAAAATCTAGATTTTAGGAAAGACTCTGCAAATATTCTCCCTCCCATTTATTTTCCCTCCTTGTTAATGCTATTTTTTTTTCTCTCGTAGCTTAAAGGGATCCTCTAGTGCCAAAAAAACAAACCTGTTTTCCTGGCACCATAGGCTCCCAGAGTGCCCCGCTGCCTTGCGCCCCCCTTCAGCCACTTACCTGAATCCAGCATCGATGTCCCTCGGCGCTGTGTCAGGCTCCGCCTACGCTCCTCAATGCTTTCCTATGGGGAAAATCTGACACTGGAGGTCCGTGATGAAGTCCAGCGTCAGATAACGGAACAAAAGTCAGTTTGGATTCCGGAAGCCCTTTAGAGGCTGTCTGGTAGTTCTCTGGAACTGCAATGTTTTACATTGCAGCACTAAGTGCAAAAGGGTCTTCGCACCCAGACTACTTCAATTAGCTGAAGTGCTCTCGGTGACTACAGCGTCCCTTTTAGGATCTGGATTTATTTGAAACAGAGTCTAATTAGAGAGTATTAGAAGAGTTTGTTATATTAAAGTTATCATTTTCATATATTTGAGTGACAGAATAAGTTATAGTCACATCTAAATAAAGAGTAGGATATGAAAGTAGTGAACACTTTATATATGCCACTGGATCGTTAGAATTCCAAGTTCTTGTAATAATTTGCAGTTAAAAAACAAATAAGTCTGCTTTCCTGCAACATGGGTCAGTAAAAAAGAGATGAGAATAATATTCACCTCTTTGACTTTCATTTATTACACTAAAGTTTTTAAAATCTAAAGCTAAACATTGAAATGGTTAAATTTACCAGCTGGCTTTGTAATTAGTTATAAATGTGACTCTAAGACAAGCATGTCAAATCTGTGGCCCACAATGGATATATTTGCGGCCCACCTGCCCTGGGGCTACTTTGTTCTGTGGCTGCAAAGATATTTCCTGTCTGATTCTGGTCTTCCCTCCGACGGCCGATCGCATGCTTCTGCAGGCCAGCTACTCCCCTTTCCCTCCTGCTCGCAGTGCCAGAGGAGCATCTGGCCTGCTTGAGCAGAGAAGAGCTGGGCTGGAACTTAACTTCTATTAATTTGAGGGAGGGGGCCAGTGTATTAAATTGGGGGAGGGAAGGGGCCATGTGGGTTAAATAGGCAGTGTATTCAATTAGAGTGGAGGGAGGGGTGGCAGTGTATTTGATTTGTGGCCAGTGTATTAGAATGGGGTGTGAGGGCAATGTATTAGATTGGGTCTGCATGGAGATGCTGATTGGCCGTGCAGCCCTTTACCACACATAAACAATAGTCACCCCATGCTTTCCTATAGGAAAGCATTGGATTGGCTGAGATCATCAAGTTTGATGATATCAGCCAAAGTGAAGAACACACTCATAGAACTGCAAAATCAACAAGATAACGTCATTTGTTACGTTCACCATTTCAGTCCCATTACCAAACTTTTCTTAATGTCAAGGCAGTTGAACGGAAACATTGGTTATATGCAAATACATATCTCCTTAAAATAAATTTGCTCTTTTGTTTACTTTGAAGCCCTACTTCGTCCAGTGTCAGTTAGGCAACTTTTTTTATACAGTACTTTTCTAAATAAATCTACGTTTCTATGAAAACTGAAGTTATAGTTTTTTTGCAGCCCACATAAACTTAAAACTTGTTTATTTTGCCAGTGTTGTCCTTTGAGTTTGACATGCTTGCTCTAAGACAACTCTGCATTAAAACCACCACTATAAAAACATGCAACCCTGAAAGAAACCATTACCTGTGCAGTAAATAATTTTGCAATTGCTCCAGTACATCGGCATGAAACTCGAAAAGTAAACATACTTTTAGCAGAAAACAGTGTTTTGGGGGGGATATTATTAGTTTGTTCATCGTTAAAAAAACACTGGTTTTCTGACTGGGTCAAAAATTTGTCGCTTGTGTGTTCATCAAGTATGCAGACCTCACCAGCACCATGTTCTTTCTTGCAAAGTTTTGATGTGTACAGTGCTGAATCATTTTCCAACTTCCTTTTTGATGCTTTTATTTGATCATTTTGTACATCATTCATGTGCTGTACTGTTTCCTGCAGATTCTGCCATAAGTCCAAAGCACTGATCCACACCTTACTTTCTCCAACCATAGTTTCCCTTAACATGGATAATGCATTTCCTAAAAATAAATGAATATTATATGTATTATCTGCTTTGCACTATACCAATTTATACAAGGGACTGGGCCAGTGATCCTCTTATGGAGTGAAGAGGACAACTACAAAACGGCGGAACACTGGGTTCCAAAAACTGGTAAATGTTTTATACAGTAGAAGATAAAGTATCAAAAAAAGTGTACGGGTTGGGGGGGTAAGGAGGGTCAACACTAAAACCAGTCAATGTGTATGTAATCAGGCTTTATTAAGTTGTGCCTCAGATACACTGTAACTAAAATAGACAAAATAAGAAACAGTAGATAAGGGGGAAGGAATCTAAGAGTCTCTATTTATATTCTCCTTTGGGTCATAGTAGCTTTTTATTTACCTTTTAGATGACCTCATATAGAGGGTTTGTAAGAGTTTAGTACATAAATACATACAAATCACAAGTATAATAGAACAAGTAAATAAAATTAAAGGCACATGTTAAAAAAATAAGATTATATTTATGTGTTAAAATTGCTTTAGAAAATGAATATCATCAGAGATGAAAAATCCTTTAGCACTGGAAGTCAGAGTACTGATACAGTAAAGAGTTATATTTAGCATTAGGTATCGGACGATATAATTTTTCGATTACACAGATTATTTGTTGCTTTTGGTGCAGATTGACGAAAACCAGTACCAATATTCTGTAATTTTGAAGCTTTGAAAAAGCAACATAATTTCTACACAAATCTGGCATTAACTGATCGTGCTGATAGCAATCACACCCCTATCACTCTCAAGCAGCCAGTACATGCTGGTACCAGTGAGATCCCAGAATGTACAATGCTGTTACTGATGGTAGTATCATTGCGGACAGCAATCACAATCCTATCACTTTAATTTAGCCACTAAAGAACATAACAGTAGATTATACACCATGGGTGTCCAACCTTTTGGTTTCCCTGTGCCGCATTGAGTGCAGAGGAATTGTCTTGGGCCACACATCAAATCTATAATGTAGATCAAGGCTAGGCAACTTTCCTCATTCCAGATGTTGCTAACTACATCTCCCTTGATGCTTTGCCAGCATTATGGCTGTAAGAGCATTATGGGAGATGTAGTCCATAACATCTGGAGTGCCAATGGTTGCCTACCCCTGATATAGATAATGTACATAAGTAATATATCTTTAAAAGCTCTTTTCTTAATTTTGACATTTTAGTTGTTTAGTAAATAACTCTTTTTGTTATCCTTATGTGGGATTGCAATATTTAAAGATATCAACTTAGGGAGCCATGTACTAAACAAGTACACATGTATATTCGTATGCACACATAACCATGGATACACACACATACACAAAATCACAGACCTATACGCACAGTCACACATCTATACACACATAATCACTGAAAAACACATCCGATCACAGACCTATACGCACAATTACATACATACACACACAAAATCACACACGATAAATCACATATATACACGCACACACACAATCACAGTCCCACACACACTTAAATTCACAGACATATATACACAAAATCACACACAATCACATACAGACATAATCACATATCCACATACACATAAAACCACAGACATACACACACAATCACAGACATATCCACAGACCTCTGCCCCTCCCCCCCACACAATCACAGACATATCCACAGACCTCTGCCCCTCCCCTCCACACACAGCCAATCACAGACAAAACACTTAAATCTCATACACACAAAAGAGGTCCACCCAGCCTCCATACCTTGCTTTGGAAGGGTGGGAATGGATCCTCTGTCCCTGGTGGCCAGTGGTTGTGCTCGGCTGGAACCTGGGACCTCTGTGCTCTTCCTGCACAGGTCCTTTGCGCGCCAAGCAGAGATGCCAGGGAGCTGTGCAGGAGGAGCACAGAATGGAATGGGCTCCCTGCCCCCTATGACCTGTAATGCAATGTTTTGACTGAGTGTATTGCCAACTGTATGGATATATATATATAAATATATATATAATCCAAAGGAAGAAATGAGAGCACTCACTGGATTTTCAATAACGGAGTGAAAATGTATTCAAATTCGCATGTGAAAAATCAATGTTTCGACCTATATAAGGTCTTTATCATCCTTTGAATTATATACCCAGCACAGTACCATGGTTTGAATATTACTTTTATATTGAGTTTGGGTAGAGTGCCAGATTATCTGCTTTGTGTATATGTGTGTGTGTGTGTGTGTGTGTATATATATATATTTCTGCGGCTTTTGACACTGTTGATCATCCACAGCTTCTTCTCATCCTCTGCAATATTAGTCTACAAGATACTGCTCTCTCTTGGTGCTCCTCCTACCATTCCCAGCGCTCTTAGAGAGTTTCTTTCTCTGGCTCTGCTTATTCTCCCCAAATCCTCTCTGTTGGTGTCCCCCAAGGTTCAGTCCTTGGTCCCCTACTGTCCTCCATCTATATTGCTTCCCTTGGTAAACTCATTAGCCAACTGATTCCTCTCTTGCAACTGTCATTAGTCTAATACTATCCTTACCTTTTGTGTCACTTTACGCCACTCCCTCTAGCATGTAAGCTCATTGAGCAGGGCCCTCAACCCCTCTGTTCCTGTGTGTCCAACTTGTCTGGTTACAACTACATGTTTGTTCGTCCACCCACTGTAAAGCGCTGCGGAATTTGTTGGCGCTATATAAATAATAACATAATTTTATATATATATATATATATATATATATATATATATATATATCTCATTGCTTTCTAAAGCTATTTAGTTTTAAAAAAATGCTGTATCCTATGATTTTGCAATATTCTGGACACACTGCTTGGAGAAACAAAGTCAGGTATCTAATCACATTACTTGGACTCTCTCGGGCATCTGGCTAGTGCTCCAGGGTGGGCTGATATCTTGTATATTTGAGTTGCATGTATGAAATGTGCATGTCACTTGTATAAGCTAGTTATGTAAGCTCCTTTAGTATGATAATAAAAGCTGGGGCTTTTAGAAGTTTTGTCAGAAGCCTCAACTGTGGGTGGACACACCACGCAGTGACTTTCCCGATTAACTTAAGACTGGCTGTCAGTTACCGCTCATACTGCTGCTGATCTTAACCATACTTAAGTATGCCCACCTCAGAAGTCTGAGAGGTAACGGACAGCCCAGACACTTGTTGTTCTGCAAGTTCCTCTGTCATTTCCTTGTCTCCTCTAGATATATCACCCAGATTCATCCATTTCACCTTGTCCCATCATCTCTGCTATCTGCATGCCTGCCTCACTCCCACTGCCTCCCAAGTGCCTCTAAGCTGAAGACAAAAGACGGACGTCAAGAATTGAGAAGATTAACTAACATCCAATAATTTCTGAAGGCTCTTTATTTGTCTCTAAAGTGTGAGTGGCCAATTGGCACTTAATATACACCAATATTCGATCACACAGTGTTGCACTATGTTGTATTATTCTTGTTTTCCCTAGCTGGATAAACCCTATATATTGCATTTGTACTGAATGAAGATTTGAGGAAATCTTCGGGTAACTACATTGCTAGAAGGGAAGTTGAGTGTTAAATATAGGCACTTTTCTTTATTCAAGCACTTTTATTGTGTGATATTGTGAAAAACACTGTTTTGTTGTATTCATCATTGTGTTAGCCAGGGTGTAGTACTACTATAGATTAATTGTTAAAGTATTATGTAATTCTTGTAAAATTCTCGAAATTTGAAAGATTATACCATATTATCCTTAATAACTTATAAATATTATACAATTTTGTCCTGAAAAAAGAAACTTTAAAATTATTTTAATCAATTGGTTTCATATTCTGCATCCTGGAACCTTATAAATATTAAAAGCAAACCATTTTGACGTAAGACTTGGGATGCAGACAAGAAGAGTCTATATAATAAATTCATGTATATAATTTTTACCCAGAATGCATACTATGAAGCATTTCAGATAGACAAAGATATTTAACCCTTTCCTGACCTCGGATGTATCAGGTTCGTCCGACAAAAAACAGTTCTTAAGGACCGCGGATGTATCTGATACGTCCGCGGAGAATTAGAGCGTTGGAAGCGATCATGATCGCTTCCAGCCGCTATGATGGTATTGCAGTGATGACTCGTGCATCATGCAATACCTCTCCTTGCTGCCAGGCGATTGCTTCCCCTGGAACGATCACTTCCGGGTTGCTCCACGTGGCGCCCGGCAGTAAAGCAGAGCATCGGAAACCACCGGGCAGGCTACTGATGCTCTGCCTGTGCAGAGTGCCTCGAGGGGTCAAGGCACTCAGTGAAGAATATAAGAAAAATGTTAAAAAATTATTTAAAACATTAATATATATATATTAACCCCTTAAGGACTGGACCTTTTTTGCGATGTTGTACATTTGCGACCAGGAATATTTTTACACTTTTCTGGTGTTTGTGTTTAGCTGTAATTTTCCGCTCTCTCATTTACTGTTCCCATACAAATTATATATTTTTTTTTCAGGACAAAAGGGGCTTTCTTTACATACCATTATTTATATAATCTCATGTATTTTAATTTAAAAAAAATATGATGAAAAATTGAAAAAAATACATGTTTTTTGACTTTTACTTGAAAAATCTTTTACTCATCTACAAAAGCGAATGAAAAAAACAGCTAAATAGATTCAAAATTTTGTCCTGAGTTTAAAAATACCCAGTGTTTACGCTTTTTTGCTTTTTTTTGCAAGTTATAGGGCTATAGGTACAAGTAGGATATGGCGGTTTCAAAACAAACATTTTTAAAATGTATCAATAGTGACATTGTAACACTATTATCTGTCATAAATCTCTGGAAAACACTCCACATGTATATATTTTTTTTAAAGTAGACAACCCAGGGTATTCATCTAAGGATATTTTGACACTTTCTATGCAGCCATTTTACCACAAGTCTTTGCCAAACTTTGCATAGATAGTTGTTTTTTTTGTTTTTTTTTCACATACATTGCAATTCAGGTATAAACTTACAGATCCTGTTATGTCTTGCTGCCAAAAAACACACTAATATATGTTCAGCAATATCTCCCGAGTACAGTGATACCACTCATGCATAGGCTTGTCGGATTGTTTGGGGGCTAAAAGGCCACATTTGGCAGGTGCGCATATCCATTTTTCAACTTGGAATTTTGACATGTAGTCAACCTGCGCACATGTCCTATTTGGGACATTTGTAAGGCCGGCCAATGTATTTTACCCCCACCAAACCATATATTTTTGGAAAGTAGACACCCTAGGGTATTTCAAATGGTGGTTTTTTAACACTTTCCATGCACTAATTCTACCACCAGACTTTGTCAAACATTTAGGTAGTCATTTTTTGTGTGTTTTTTTTCACACACATTGTACTTTAGGCATGAATTAACAAATCGTGTTATGTGTCACTGCCAAACAACACGCCAATATGTGTTCAGCAACATCTCCTGAGTACAGTGATACCACCCATGCATAGGCTTGTCGGATTGTTTGGGGGCTAAAAGGCCACATTTGGCAGGTGCGCATATCCATTTTTCAACTTGGAATTTTGACATGTAGTCAACCTGCGCACATGTCCTATTTGGGACATTTGTAAGGCCGGCCAATGTATTTTACCCCCACCAAACCATATATTTTTGGAAAGTAGACACCCTAGGGTATTTCAAATGGTGGTTTTTTAACACTTTCCATGCACTAATTCTACCACCAGACTTTGTCAAACATTTAGGTAGTAATTTTTGTGTGTTTTTTTTCACACACATTGTACTTTAGGCATGAATTAACAAATCGTGTTATGTGTCACTGCCAAACAACACGCCAATATGTGTTCAGCAACATCTCCTGAGTACAGTGATACCACCCATGCATAGGCTTGTCGGATTGTTTGGGGGCTAAAAGGCCACATTTGGCAGGTGCGCATATCCATTTTTCAACTTGGAATTTTGACATGTAGTCAACCTGCGCACATGTCCTATTTGGGACATTTGTAAGGCCGGCCAATGTATTTTACCCCCACCAAACCATATATTTTTGGAAAGTAGACACCCTAGGGTATTTCAAATGGTGGTTTTTTAACACTTTCCATGCACTAATTCTACCACCAGACTTTGTCAAACATTTAGGTAGTCATTTTTGTGTGTTTTTTTTCACACACATTGTACTTTAGGCATGAATTAACAAATCGTGTTATGTGTCACTGCCAAACAACACGCCAATATGTGTTCAGCAACATCTCCTGAGTACAGTGATACCACCCATGCATAGGCTTGTCGGATTGTTTGGGGGCTAAAAGGCCACATTTGGCAGGTGCGCATATCCATTTTTCAACTTGGAATTTTGACATGTAGTAAACCAGCGCCCCTGTCCTATTTGGGCCAATGTATTTTACCCCCATCAAACCATATATTTTTGAAAAGTAGACAACTCAGGGTATTTTAAATGGTGGTAGTTTAATACTTTTCATGCAATAATTCTACCACCAGCCTTTGGCAAACTTTTGGGTAGTAATTTTCTTCATGTTTTTTTTCACATACATTGTACTTTAGGCATGAATTAACAGATCCTGTTATGTATCACTGCCAAACAACACCCCAATATGTGTTCAGCAACATCTCCTGAGTACAGTGACATCACCCATGCATAGGTTTGCTGGGTTGTTTGGGGGCTAAAAGGCCACATTCAAGACTTGTACATATCAGTTTTTCAACTTGATATATAGGTATGCTTGGCCTATCTTCAGTTTGGCATATTTTTGCATCCCCCCGTTAATGTTAACATCATGAAAGTTTATATTTTTATAAAGTAGACATTCCAGAGTATTGTATATGAGGTGTTTTCACATCCTTCCCCCAACCATTGTGCTAAACAAATTTCAGCGAACGTGCATGGTGGTAATTTTTTAATTCTGCTTTTTATGCACACGTCATCTGGTTTTGGCCAGCCAGTTATATGTTACTACCATAAAACTTTTTTAACCAAATGTGCAGGTATCAAACTTGCAACAGGTAGATAGCCACCTTTTTATACCAGGCTTTTGTCTTTCTTAAGATAAGATAAGGCTGCATCAGCTGATCAGCCAAATCAACACCCCCCATGTGCCTGTTATAAGCCCTGATGCACACCGGTTTTGTCTGTACCCTGCCTCGGACAGTGACGTCTGACATGCCCTCGTTATGGATGGTTGTTAGCATGTGAACATCCTTCCTGTCCTTAAATTTTAGCGCAAGCAGTTCAGCCTTGCGCAGAGCTTTGCATTCCCCTTTTTTTAATTTGGCCTCTATGAGAGGTCTGGGGAAATCCTTGGCATTTCTTCTTACAGTGCCGCAGGCCAGTGTCTGTAAACTATAAAGAATTTTAAACAAGTGGACACTGCTGTAAAAATTGTCCACATAAAGGTGGTAACCCTTATTGAACAAAGGGTTCAGTAGGTCCCAAACAAGTTTCCCAGTTGTCCCCAGAGAGTCAGGACAGCCAGGAGGGTTCAGTTGAGCATCTTTCCCCTCGTATACACGAAAGGCAAATGTGTAGCCACTTTCGCTCTCGCAAAGTTTGTACACTTTAATGCCATACCTAGACCGCTTTGAGGGGATATATTGTTTGAACCCTAATCTCCCTTTGTATTTCAAAAGGGATTCATCGATGGATAAAGTTTGTTGGGGAGTATAAACTTCAGAAAATCTGTTCTGAAGATGGTCTACCAGTGGGCGTATTTTATGAAGCCTATCATATTGGGGGTGATCTCTGGGGTGACAGAGCGTATTGTCGTTGAAATGTAAGTATCTCAGCAGCAGCTCATATCTTGGTCTAGGCATTGTTTGGGAGAATATAGGAGTCGAACAAATTGGGTTGGTGCTCCAGTAAGACCGGATTGATGGCTTCTTTATTATCCCCATGAGCATGGTAAGAGCCCAGAATGTTTTAAGTTCAGGGACATCTGTGGGATGCCAAGCATGCTCCCTGACTGTATAGCTACCTGGATTGGTCTCAATAAATTGGCTAGCGTATAAATTAGTCTGGGAAGCAATCTCCTCCCAGATGGTATCCCCTAAAAATAACTCCATATATTGTATAGGGGAGAAGTCAACCACATTCACATTAATGCCTGCGTTGGCACTAAAAGGGGGGATGTTGGGCTCAGCTAACTGTGGAGGTACCCAGTCCTCCTCCACATTCAGCGTAGCAGGGGAAGCACAGCTTCTTTTAGCAGCTGGCTCACACACAGATGACATGTCACTAGACGTGCCGCTAAACTGACCTGGGTCAAAATCGGACGCAGTGTCAGTGGCGTCAGAGTCTGACGCCAAGAAGGCATATGCCTCCTCCAAGCTGTACATGCGCTGCATGTTTCACACTAACAGACTAAACTAACAAAATACTAAACACAATTTTTTTTATTTTTTTAAAACACTAAAACAGACTAAAACAGACTAAAACAGTAATCCCTAAACTAACTCCTGTTAGAAGAATCTAATGGAGATTTGGGGGAAGGAAACTGACTGACTACGACAGACTATGACAGACAGACTACGACAGACTAAAACAGACTACGACAGACTACGACAGTCTAAGACAGTCTAAGACAGTCTAAGACACAGATTTTTTAAAATAAAGTTAACCCTTAAGGGCAAAAAAAAAATACAGACAGTACAAATGCACTGTCTGTAACAGATCTGGCAGGGAAGGGGTTAAAAGGGATTTTTTATTCACTGCAGATACTTTTTAATTTTCACAGGAACAGCTGCTGCAACAATATATCAGGATCTCTGTCTCTCTCCTCTCACAAAACGCTACAGAGAGGAGAGAGGCAGAGATCAGTGTCAAAGTGAGTGTTTGTAACACCCACTTTGACACCAGCCAATTGTGAGCGATCGCGGATCGCTCACACGCCGCAATTGGCTGTTACTATCTGCCTGGGATGCCGGGCAGATAGTAACAACGGGATTTCGGCGGAAGCGATCTCTGATCGCTCCCGCCGCCCGTTTTCCGTTAGGACGGTTCAGGACCGTCCTCGGTCGGCCATGCAAAAATGCCGAGGACGGTCCTGAACCGTCATCCGTCCTTAAGGGGTTAACCCCCCAGCCATGTGGCTCCCAATATGGCACTGCCATTCTAGAGGCAGTGCATCATGGGGCTTCTGGGGGTGCCCCTAGCCTGCCTCATCATAGAGGCAGGCTAAGGACATCCAATCAGAGCTTTCCCCTACAATAATATTTATTATACCTATGATCTCCATTTGTCTGATCAGGTCAATATTAGTAAATATTCACTCTGATCAGTGTGGATCTCCCTCCCTCTCTTCACTTGTGTTTTAGTGAGAGAGATCTGTGTTATAGGTAGAGAGATTTAGGTAGTGATTTGTAAAATTGTGAGACCCAAAAGCTCTTTTCAGAGCTATAAACCCCTATCCTGCCAGTGATCACTGTATAGATCACCAGCTCTAATTTGTTTTAGTTTTTTGGGACAGATCACTAAATAAAGTGATCGTGATCATGTCACAGAGTTGGTATAGCACTGAGGAGGTGCATGCCATCCTTGCGTTAGAGTCCAACGCGTCTATGTCTTACTCTGACCCTGATAGGTGCTCAGAAACAGATCTAGATACAGTGTCTGCTGCTAGTGATGTATCTACTTATGATGCATCTGTTGCTGCTAGTCCCCCTGCCAGAAGGCGACATGCTGCTCTAGCTGACAGTACTGTGGAGGAGTGGGTAGAGCTTCATTGCCAGAGGCCAGATATCCCACCCTTCACTGCAAATCCTGGCATCAATGTGGATGTCGCAAGATTTAGCCCTCAGCAGTTTATGGAGGTGTTTCTGGGTGATGATGTATTGAGGAACATTGTCGCCCAAACTAATTTATATGCCCATCAGTTCCGTGCTGCAAAGCCTGACTCTTTTTTGGCAAAGCAGTAATGGGCCCCTATCGATGTGCCAGAATTAAAATTCTGGGCATTGACTATGCTGATGGGCATCATAAAGAAGCCCTCCATCCGATCCTACTGGAGCATCTGCTCTACCCCCATTTACTCCCAGTGTCTGTCGAGGAAGAGGTATGAAATGGTTCTACAGTTCATGCACTTCAGCAACAACAGCCTGTGCCCCCCTAGAAAGCATCCCCAGTTTGACAGGCTGTAAAAAAATCCACCTCCTGATTACCCACTTCGCTGCCAGGTTTGAAGAGGCTTATACACCTGGAAGAAATATATGCGTGGATGAATCCCTGATTAAGTATAAGGGAAGGCTGGGTGTATAAGCTCTGTCATAGCGAGACTAGGTATACTCAGGCCTTCTGTGTGTACGAGGGAAAGGATAGCCACCTTGACCCTCCAGGTTGCCCAGAAAATATTGGAACCAGTGGCAAGGTTGTCTGGGACCTGATAATCCCCCTGATAAACAAAGGGTACCACTTGTATACAGACAATTTTTATAAATTTTTATATATTGTTTTGATACAGTAGCTTGCAGTACAATAGAAAAGAACTGCGCAGTTTCCCCTGACCACTTGCACGCACACGACTACGAAGGGGGGAGACCTCAGCTCTGCGACAAGAGGAGCTGTTGGCAGTTAAGTACAGAGACAAGAAGGGTGTGTACCTTCTTACCACCATCCACACTGAGAGGACTGTGGAGGTCTCCGTTTGTGGCAGAGCTGAGAGCACAAGGAAGCCAGTGTGCATCAAGGCCTATAACCGGCATATGGGTGGGGTTGATCTGGAAGATCAGCTGCTGCAGCCCTACCTACCGAAGACACGGGCCTGGTACAAAAAGGTTGCAACCTACTGAATGCAGATTGCAACCCACAACGCTTTTTTGTTGTTCAAAAAGGCATCCCCAGAATGCAACCAAGTTTTTTACAGTTTCAGCTCCAGATCATTTCGGGGATTTTGTACCGTGATGCACCTGCTCCCCAGGCGGTGATGGGAGAGAGCAGATTCGGGGCTACACATTTATTTTTAAAATCCCCCCTACTGCAGCAAAGCAGAATCCCCCAAAGAGATGCTGAGTCTGTTTTAAGAGGGGGCAGAGAAAAGATATTGTATAGTACTGTCCTGATTGCCCTGGACAGCCTGGATTCCGCATTAGGGACTGCTTCAAACAATTCCACACACTGGTCCATTTATTTATTTAAACATTTGCTGTTCAGTTTTTTTTTTTTGTTACGTTTACTCTATGTATTAGGGGCATGGGTGTCCTCAGGAGGCCTTGCAGAAAACAACCTGGAGTGTTTCCTTGCAAAAACCAACAGGCTCTCCTAAATCACAGTCAAAAAGCAATGTGTGTGTAAAAATGAAAAATTTAAAATTACCACCACACACTTTCTCGAATTTTTTGGGCTAAAACGGTTGTATCAAAGGCATCAAAGCTCTCCATATACTATTTATCGGGTGTCTACGTTTCAAATATATACACTTTCATGGCAATAAATAAAACTGGGGTGCGTGATAATCCCCAAGCTAAAGATAGGCCTACCAGAAGAAATACTCTCAATTTCAACTCAAATGACAAGTCATACAATTGTAACTGAACCTTCCCAAAATCCTGGCAAACTTATGCATGGGGGGCATGGTTGTACTCAGGAGGCCTTGCAGAAAACAACCTGGAGTGTTTACTTGCAATAACCAACAACAGGCTCCCCTAAATCACTCACAAATGTGAGTGTAAAAATGAATATTTTAAAATTACCACCACACATTTTCTCCAATTTTTTTACTTAAAACGATTGCATCAAAACACTCCATATAAAATACCGTGGGGTGTCAACTTTTCAAATATATGCACGCTCATGGAAATAAATTTGAAAAACACGTCAAATATTTGGCATTGCACCCCCCAAACATCCCACCAAACCTATGCATAGCTGGTATCACTGTACTCAGGAGATGTTGCTGAACACACATGTTCTTTGGCAGTAACACCTAAATGGAGCTGATAATCCATGCCTAAAGTAGAATGTGTGTGAAAAAAAAAGAAATGACTACCCAAAGGTTTGACAAAGACTGGTGGCAGAATTAGTGCATGGAAAATGTTAAAATACCACCATTTGAAATACCCTGGGGTGTCTACTTTTCAAAAATATATGGTATGATGGGGGTAAATTACATTGGCCGGTTTCAAAAATGTCCCAAATAGAGCAAGCGTGCATGATGACCAGCTGTGAAAATTCCAAGTTGGAAAACTGAAATGTGCCCCCTCCAAATAAGGTACTTTAGCCTCCAGAGAGCCCGACACACCTGTACATGGGTGGTATCACTGTACTCCGGAAATGTTGCTAAACACATATTGGGGTGTTCTTTGTCAGTAACCCTTACAGTTCTCAGTACAGGTGTTCTTAAATTGCTATGTGTATTAAAAAATTTTTTTTAAAAAATCACGAATTATTTTATTTTATATTTGGCATAGATTAGTGGTAAAATGGTTGCATGAAAAGAGTCAAAATACCCCAAGTTTAATACCATAGGTTGTCTTTTTAAAAATATATACTTGTGAAGGGATTCCTGACAGATATCAGTGTTACAATGTAACTTGCGTTAATGTTGAAAAAAATTGGTTTGGAAATAGCAAAGTGCTACTTGTACTTATAGCCCTATAACTTTCTTAAAAAAAAAGCTAAGAACATGTTAACATTGAGCATTTCTAAATGAAGGACAAAATTTTGAAACCATTTAGCACAGGTGTTTTTGGCGGTTGTAGCTGTGTAACAGATAGTGGGGGTCAAAGTTAGAAAAACAGTGTTTTTTAAAAAAAATTCAACATATATTTTTTTATAGTAAATTATATGGTATGATGAAAATAATGGTATCATTAGAAAGACCATTTAATGGCGAGAAAAACGGTATACAATGTGTGTGGGTACAGTAAATGAGTAAGAGGAAATAGAGAAAATTCATGACAAATTTAATGTAATTTTCTTTTCCTGGCTATTTCTCATGGCAGCATCATTTATGGGTTTCTCCTCCCTTAGCAGTCACAGGATAGGAATTAGATTAGACTGATGGGTATAAAGAGTCCCTCCTCCCCTTACACCACAGTACAATTATAAAGCTGAAAAAATAAAGGAATGGGTGGGAACCCTGATGCGCGCCATGAAAAATAGCCAGGAAAATAAAATTACGGTAAGTTTGTCATAAATATTCTTTATTCCTGGCTAATCATGGCAGCATCACTTATGGTTAATACCCATTATCGTCCAAGTAATGGAAGATTTCGATACCTCTTACTCTTATGATGGCTAATATAGTGACAAGAACTTTTGAGAACGTTCTTGGTGCCAAGCTGAGGCCGAACGGGAGTCCCATGAATTGAAAGTGTCTTCCTAGGGCCCAGAATCTAAGAAATTTTACATGATCGCAGTTTATAGGGATTAGGTAGTAGGCGTCCCTCAAGTCTATAGAAGTCATCCAATTCTGTCTTTTGATGCTTTTCAAGATGGTCTGTAAGGATTCCATTTTGAACATTCTCACGTCGAGCATGGAGTTCACTCCTTTTAAGGTCAGGATTAGACGCCCCTCTCCTTGGGGTTTTGGAGCCAAGAACACTGTGGAGTAAACTCCTTCGAACCTTTCCTCTTTTGGAACTTCTTCTATAACCCTTTGTTCCTGAAGAGATGCATTTCCTCACGGCTCTTCATTTAATGACCGTCAACAACCTCGAATTCCTGAAGAGAACTGATTTTGGGTAAGAGGAGAACTCTATCCTGTAACCTTCTTTTTATGACGTCTGATATTTGCGGCCAGACGTCTGATTTTTGCGGCCCACACCGGGTAGAAGAACCTTAATCATCCTCCCACAATCCCCGAATGGGCCTGAAGACCTTCAGAAGTTCTTCCCAGAGGTTCTAGATCCTCTCCCTCTGGAAATCTTATTGGTCAATGAATGTGAGAAGCTTTTCCAAGAGGAGTTTCTAGAATAGTCCTTTTCTGGTTTATAGCTTCTGCTGTCCCGAAAGCACGGATCCTTGAAGCGTTTAGTCTTCTTGCTTTTTTGCCATCTGCAGCCTTTTGTATCTTACCGAATAATAAGCACCCCTGGAATGGAAGGCCACACAAAGATGCTTTGGAAGCATAATTGGCTCCCCATGAATGAAGCCTTCTAGAGTTCACAGACAGGGTCATACTTTTAGCAATCATTTGAATAATGTCGAAAGAGGCTTCTGAGCAGAATTCTGTAGCAAGGCTGTAATCCTAGAGACTTTCCAGGAGATGTTCCCTGCAGACTCCATGGTCAATGTCCTCCTCCATTTGCGAGCCATACTCTTAAGGCCCTTGAGAAGGTGGTTAGAGCCAACGCAGGATGGAGGGCAGATACTAGGGCTAGATAAGATTTTATGAGATCCCCATCCATACGTTTTCCCATAGGTTCTCTAAGGTAGGCCATGGAGTCAATGGGGAGCATAGATTTCTTAGCTATAGGAATCACGGCAGCATCTATTTTTGGGACGGAGTTCCATACTTTGCAGTCAATGGCAGAGTAAAGATATATCCTTGTGAACTTATTCTTTAAGGTGGGTTTTCTTTTCGGCTTGTTCCATTCTTGAAGGATCGTGTCCCTGATTGAAGAATGCACTAGGAATGTTGGCCTATTAGGTCCTTAAAGAACCTGTCAGCCTCTCTCAACTCCGACTTCTCTTCCGTGAGACTAAGAGTGTCCCTGATACGGCTAATCAGCCTATCAATAGACTTAGAGTCAAGAGACCTGGAGATATATTCAACTTCCTTATCATCATCTAAGACCTCCTACATGTCAGGGTCTTCTTTAGAGCATGAAGACTGAGGTTCCGCTCTGCATCTCTTACATGGACCCACCTTTATCCGTGGTAGACTTAAAGCCCTCAGCAATAGCTTGGGAAATCCAGAGTTTAAGGTCGTCCTGTTGGGAACTCCTATAGGAAGCATCAGCTATTTCCAATAAGCATTCTCTGTAGAGGTTCCTTCCCTGTGGTGCAGAGGTCGAACAGTTCACGCATTTATTGGTTTTATCCCTTGATTTTCTTGGGGGTTAATCCAACTATTCAAAAATTATTGGCTCACCTATGTTTTCTAGAGAGGGATCTTGCAGAGGCAGAGGGAAAATCCATACTATAATGGAAATCAAAAGAAATGTCAAAAGACCCAAATCCACATCCCATCAAAATTCAGAAGCAAAACTGAATATCAAGTAAAGTTTAAAAATCACAAGGAGAAAAAGCCTACCTTCTGACAAGGAGACAATTCAAGCAACCAAGGAAAGGAAAAAACTCCAACTTTAATGCACTGAACCAAAGGACGTTAAGCAGTGCGCTCAGGGTCGCTATAGCAGATGCAGCATGCACACAGAGCCTCAGATCACTCAGAATGAAATAGTGCCGGGGAAAAAAAAGGGTAGTTCTGCGCATGCGCAGAACGCACACTATGCGTTCCAGGCGCTCGCATCATACCCACGCGATCCCCGAGACCCCTGGGGTAAAAAGGTCGGTTACGGCCAATCGGATCTGAAGGAGATTTATTTAAACTCACTTTTACTTTTCCTCATTGCCCTGTCGTGGTTTCCTTTATATGGTTATCCGAGAGTGCGTTCCTGATCGTGTGTTTCTGGTTATTGACTTTGGCTTAGTTTTGACTTCCCTGCCTTCTGGTATCCTTGAATATTGGCTTTCCCTTATCACTGTGTCCAATTCTGTGTACCTGACCTCTGCTAGTATATTGACTATTCTTAGGTACATTAAGTCCGGCCATTCTAAGGTCCGGTTAGACGTTACCCTTAGTGTGTGACACATTTCTGCGTGCTGGATCAACTATAATCCTGACAAACAGAACCCTAGTTCTATTTGTCAGGCATAATACCTGTCCGAGAAGAAACACCGCTCTAAGAAACAAAAAAAATGAAACAATATACTTTGTCTGTGATATCGCATGCAAGGACATTGTGGACATGTTATGTTCATGATTGTCTACTATCATCTATATGGCCTAATCTTATTGTCATTGCCAACAGGACCTCTATCTGGTATGGATTGCCTGGCCTCAGTTTATATGGGTCTCAAGACACTATCCTTGTATGGGTTTACTGAATACTAAAGGAAAGATGGTGAGGAAAATGGAGGTTCATCTGCTGACTACGAGAGTGGTTTATATGTTAATGACTGATCACCATTTTGTTCACAGCTTCCACTTTATTTATTTTTTTCCCCATGGGTCCTTGGCATATTTTTTTTTTCTAAGCACATAAGGTTGTTTTTGCTTACTTTTCGAATACCTTGTTTTGCTAAATGCCTAGAAAAGAAATCACTGGAATCCAGACCAGATTCCTATTGAGCTGAGCACTCCACCCACCCACTGTGGGGGCCCCTTTTGGAGGTGACCACATGAAAGCATAAATTGAAGAGTCTCTGTAAGCAGTTTTAGCTGTAAGTAAGTATTGCAAGTCAGCATGCCACTCCCCCATGTTAAAATCAGTGTAGGACTCAACGATATAGGGCAGGGGTAGGCAACCTTTTAGCAGCACTGTGCCGATATAGGATTGTGATGTCCCATAGCATGCTGATCCTATTTTTTTTTAAATTGAGGTGTGTATGTTGCCGTATTCTGCTTGTGTTATTTTTACTGTAATTCCTTTGTATTGTTGTATTTGTGCATATATGAGCGATTATATTGTATATGTTCATTAGTAGTTTATGGTATTGTGCATGATACATATGAATGTGGGCTGTGTATGAGGACTGCTTGTGGAATTTTGTGTGGATGGATTTGTCACATTGTGTATTTGGTAGTGTGTGTATGTGTGGGGGCTGTTTGGGGTATTGCACGAGAGGCTGCGTGTGTGGTTGTGTGCATGTATGTGGATTGTTAGTGGTGTTGCGTTTGTGGGGATTGTCTGTGGGCTTTTAGTATTATTTGTATGAGGGGAGGGTTATTCTGCAGGTCTGTGTATATCAAGCAGTGTGGGTGGCTTCCCTGGGTTCCAGTGGGGACCAGGCTGGACAGGTACAGGTCAAGGTCAGGAGCTGCAACAGCAGCTGCAGGCTGCTATACTACAATGTGGATTCCCATTCACAAGTGCTGGGAGGAAGTGATCTGAGATCACTTCCTCTATGTGCTGCAATGCTTAAATTGAGGATTGTCCTTAACCACCTGTTTGTATTAGCAGATATCTGAAGTTTTACTGGGACTCCTGATAGGCCAGAGTGCGTTTGGCTCTAGCAGCCTTGAGTGCCATGCAAAGACACCTTGAGTGCCGTGCATGGCACTAGTGCCGTAGGTTGCCTACCCCTGATATAGGGGAACTGTGATGTAGTGGTGGGCTTAACACAATATGGCCCATATGAGGTAACTAAATCCTCATACTTGCTTGCCACGATAGGTGATTTAAGTAGCCTTGTAAAATTTTAAACTGTAATTTTTTGTTTTTGTGTGTGTGCTGTTCCTTTAATTGTATTTTGTATAGTTTTTGATCTTTATAGCAGCACCACTACTTCATGTTCTGAGTGTGCCCCTAAACCTTTCCCGATTAACCTGAAACCCTAGGCCAAGGCTGAAAAATTGAGCTTTCCAGCCATGATTGTGGTAACCTGGATGTAGTTTTACTATAGCATAATCAGTATTGTATTACTTTATTCTTGTAAAATTCTTTTAATTAGAAAGACTATACTTTATTATCCTTAATAACTTGTAATTATAAATATTATATTGTTTTGTCCTAAATAAAGAAGATTTTATTATTTCACTCAATCTGTGTCATATTCTGCATCCTGGAACCTTATAAATATTAAAAGCAAAACACTAGGGGAGGTAAGTTGGTAATATCAAAAACCACAAAGAGTTACCTGGGCTTTATCACAAATCTATATGCATATCTAAACAACTGGAGAGTTACTTTAATCACTCCAATGTGTAAACTCACCTAACACACTAACTGAGCTCACTAGCTCACTTTCATCTTGCTGATTTCAGTTAGAAAGGTATAAAAAGTTCTAATGAGTATTCTTGAGCCCAAAAGAATGTTGGCCTGATGAATACTGTAAACACTGTTGTAGTGCTGCCATCCACCCCATGTTTACCCTATTAAGGGTTAAAAGCGTGTAGGGGTTCCTAAAAATACCCCTTTTAACTCATTATATAGAAATTTGTACCCTTTAGCTGAAATCAGCAAGGTAAATTGTTAGCGTAGGACTCAGCTAAGGGGTTTTGCCTTGACGTGGCAGGTGAGCTTATACGTGAATGACCATTGGAGTGATAAAAAAAAAAAAAAAAAAACTCCAGTTTTTTTAGATGTGCATATGGATTTGGAATAGAGTGCGGGTAACTCTTTTTGGTTTTGGTTCTATGTATTCAGGCTGATGAATACTATAGTCATTGCTAGTGCCCAGGAGTAGTACGAGTTTAAGTGCAGGGCTTCATTTTGAATGTTTGTATAGATAACATTGGTTAATTACAAGACCAATACCAATTAACAGAATTATGCCAAATATTGCCTCTAATGATTGGCGGAACCGATAGCGGGTCTATCCCTATTTAATACACCTGTATATGTTAACCCCTTAAGGACACATGACGTGTGACATGTCATGATTCCCTTTTATTTCAGAAGTTTGGTCCTTAAGGGGTTAAGCAAGTCTAGCAGCAAATAACCAAATGTCGGTGTTGCAAGGTAGTTTTATGTTACTGAAAAATGAAAACATTAAAGATGGTTTGTCTGATATTACTTTACACGCGGGAACCAGTTTTCTTTTACACTATGTATAGTGGTTTTGTAAAGTAATTTAAAATGTACACTCTACGTACTGTAACCAACTACAGCCTACTGTAATGGCTATGGTGCCAGCATACCCTTGGCACCAATCCTATTTTTTCTGTCAAGTTAGGAGACAAACCAAAGGTAGCACAGCCTCTCATGTGGTATAAAGCTAGTGTGGACATTAAACTTTCACAAACGCAACATTACATTTTTTAGAATTTCTAACAGCATTAAATGACTGAGCATGTCAGCTATCATGCTGAGTAAATACATGCCATCTAAACATAGATGCAATTGAATTCTGACTTTCTATCCTAGAAATAGGGAATTCATTGTGCTCACCTTTACCCTTAGGAACAGACAGAGGTGGTTCTTTACGCAGCAACAAAAATAATCTTTCTCCAGATTTAATTTGTCTCAATCTGTACATGTCTGGTTCTGCTGTGAAAAAAACCTTCCCAGACATTGCTTCAACCTGAAAGCAGAAATGGTACAGTTTCAGTAAATTTACCATCTATAATTACAATAATACAATTATTTTATTTTGCTTAATATTTCTTATAGTGTCCTCATCAAGGGCAGTTTACAAAGATTTATAATATGGACATCAATGAAATTACTGATAATACAATTAAACTTAAGAAGCCTTCAAAAACTGTATCCAAATCAACTGACAAACTCATAAAACAGTTTTGGAATACCCTCTAATTTAAAACAGCACTGACTAGCAGAGGATACAAATAGTTTTTACAAGAGTACTAAATTTTTCTAGATATTAAAGGGAAACTATAGTGCCAACTATAGCTTCCCCCTCAGTCAAGGCCACCCCAGTTTAAAACCCAGTCTGTCACTTACCTGGGTCTAGCGCCAATGTCCCTCAGCACTGGCTTCGCAGACGTCAGCCGGCAGGGGAGACCTAATGTGCATGCACAGCATTATTCAATGCTTTCCTATGGGGATACCAGTGAAGCTGGAAGTCCTCATGCTATGTCAAGCACCATTTAGCCTGGAGGTCCCTCTAGTGGCTATCTGATAGACAGCCACTAGAGCAGAATTTAACCTTATTAATTATTTCAGTCTATTAAAAACTGCAATAATTACATGCGCATGGTTAACGGTGATGTGACACTGCACCCAGACCTCTTCAATGAGTTGAAGAGGTCTGGGTGCCTATAGTGTCCCTTTAATAGTTAGGTGGACTTCATAATACACAATTTGATTTTAGAGTTAATGATATAAAATAAAAATCGATAAAACCACTTTATGTAAATGATATGGGAAAATCAGAAAACCTTTTCCCTCAAAAAATACCAAGGGAAAAAACAAACAAACAAAAAAAAAAACATACTAAAGTATAGGAATTCTGAAAGGATATTGATACTTTGGAAATAGTTCAGAGAAGGGCTACTAAATGGGTTCATGGTTTGCAGGATAAAACGTACCAGGAAAGGTTAAAGGATCTTAACATGTATAGCTTGGAGGAAAGACGAGACGGGGGGATATGATAGAAACATTTAAATACATAAAGGGAATCAACACAGTAAAGGAGGAGACTAAATTTAAAAGAATGAGAACAACCACAAGAGGACAGTCTTAAATTAGAGGGGCAAAGGTTTAAAATGAATATCAGGAAGTATTACTTTTCTGAGAGGGTAGTGGATGCATCGAATAGCCTTCCAGCTGAAGTGGTAGAGGTTAACACAGTGAGGGAGTTTAAGCATGCGTGGGATTGGCATAAGGCTATCCTAGACTTAAGATAAAGCCAGGGACTAATTAAAAGTATTTCGAATATTGGGCAGACTAGATGGGCCGAATGGTTCTTATCTGCCATCTCATTCTATGTTTTCATGTTGAAGAGTTGATTGACCGGTGAGAGAAAGACCTCTTATTAAATAGTTTTTCTTCAACATATATACATTTTGCTAGCAATCCTGCTAACACAATGTACAGACAGAAGTTGTAATTGACTTGATTTTGACTGTAATCCATATATCAATGTGTGTATTAATAATATAATTATGCCTATAATATTAACACATATTAATATACATGTATAATACACACAGACATTTCATCAACATATAACATATATGTAATTAGCACGTATTGGCCCAGCCTTGTTGCTAGGAGCACAATCCAGCACAATAACATACTCAAAGTGAAGAGGACACTCATAGAACTCAATATAAACAAGAAAACTTCATGTTTTATAATTGTGCAACAACACAATTCACCATTTCAGTCCCATTACCAAACTTTTCTAAATATGTGACGGTAGTTGGACTGAAAAATTGATCATATGCTGTGGCGGATCCGGTCATGTATCAAACGAATCCCTAAGACTTATTCCCAAGCCTCTTGGTTCGGTACCTTCCCTTCTGCTGAACATACTACCAAACACGCGTTCTCTGGCAGACGATGGCCATTTTGTTTGCCCGAATTAACTTCTGTGGGAGTTAGCTGCGAACACTATGGAACACAAATCGGTCACTAAACTATGCGGTAACCGGTCTACTTATCCCCTTGTTTTAAACCGCTATTTGCAGGGAAGGTACTACAGACTCTTGAGACCAATCGCTCTGAGAGAACCAGGGGGAGCACCCTTCAACCACAGGAGCTCCCAACATTTGACTGGTGAAGCCCTTCTTTCGGTACTCCTGGTCAGAGTTTATGAATTTTCTGTACTCTGCTCGGTAGTACTTTATATTGAAGATCACTTTTCTCCTGGAATTGTAAAGTAATTTTAAGGAAATAATCGTATCACTCTATATCTGCAGTTTAGGCTGGTGTGACACATTATTAGGCTGGTATAGAATTTTTTTCCAGGGCTGCTTTTAGTTCCCAGTCCGCCCCTACTAAAATGGCAGTGTTTACAGAAATAGCCTGAAGGAACAGGCTATAGTCACCAGAACAACTACATTAAGCTGCAGTTATTCTGGTGACTATAGTATCCCAGTAATCAAACCCCTAAATCCTACAACTGCAGCTTAATGTAGTCAAACTTCTAATCCCACCTCCGAGGGATTCCCTCTGCTGATGACTTCATAGTACACTCAGGGAGTCCACTGTACTGGGTGATTGCAGCATGAAAGGGAGAGCTCCCCCTCATGCTGCAGCACTGGTAACAGTGATCAGTGCAGGGACACCTCCTGTGGTCCAATATCTAATGAATGTATTCTTATCTAACAGACCAGATGTTTTAAGCAATGTATCAGTTTTTTTTCACTTGACTTTTTGGTCCATGACGTGCCTTGTATTTTTAGAATTAAAGTACCATTAGTCACACATACATTCTCTCACACAAATTATTATTTTTTTTAATTTACAGCCACCCGGCCTCCTTACCTCTGGGAGAGCTGGAGTGGATCCTTTCCCTGGGGTCCAGCGGAACTGCAATGATCCTTTAATTTTACCACATGACAGGAGGCTTCATATTTTGCTTTAACTTTCTTTACTAACTCCATAGCAGCAAAGAAAAAAACAGGTGAAATAAAGAACTAATCAGAACACAGTCAGGGTGTATATAAGGGAAAGCATATCCAAGGCACTTCCTCTTCCTTTGCTGCTCCAAGTCAGGTCAGAGTACTTGTTTGCTGTTTCTGTCTTAAGCTGAACCTATTGTATGTGATTACTAGATTTCCTTTCCGGTGGGGGTGACGGGGGGCTATCCTTTATTTCCACCTCTCTAGTGGGGCAGTGTATTTCTTTTCTTATTAGGATTCCGTCCCCTCTCTCCCCAGAGGCTGCCTATCCGCCTCCTCCCATGTGGCTACCTTTGCCACTTTCTTCGGGTTTCCCGCACCGTTCGCATTGACTTTAGTGCGTTCAGGCAGGGAATTCTGTTGATTCATGCATATAGGCAAGAACGGGCCGGTCGCTGCTTTTTTCCCCTTTCACGCATATTCTTGTGCATAGATATTCGGTGTTTTGTGCACTAACTGGCTGTTCGCGGTTGTCTGTTCGCAGGGTTTCCCGTTTGCATACAGGCATCTTTCAACGTTCTGTAGTTTTATGTGAACGGACTGTTTGCGGATTTCTCTGTTCGCGTCTAACAGCATTCGCTTTAAATTTCGTATGTTTTCCCGCAAACACGTTTTGCGGGCTTTTAAACACCATTTTAGTCCTCGTTCTCGCGAGACCCGTGGCGGCCATCTTGTTGGTGGTGTTAGTCATGGATTTTACTCCCATCACGAAGAGGCTCTCTGTGATTACGGTTTCTGGCTGTTATACCCCTAGGAAGTGGGACTGCCAGTCAAGTATACCCAAGTATTCTTGCAAGGGGTGAGCCCCCATTTGGGTATTACACAGAGTGTTGCTGAGCAGAATCTGTATTTGCAATTCCGGTTTCCTGGATAAGCCCCAGTGATCGTAATAAGAGTCTGCTTAATTGCCACACGCCATTAGGCTGTAAGTTAAGGCCCATAGCCTGTTTCACGTCCCTCCCAACCGGTCCCTATACCTCTCCTACATATGCCTGTTTGGAAAAAGAAAGAAAAAAAACTTATCCATATAGGTCTATCATGGAAGATACCTAGAACCCCATGGACCTCCAGGCTATGAGTAATGCGGCGTTGGCATACCTGGAGAAGGTTATGGCCAAAGTGTTCGCGGCAGCCTCTGATGCTTTCAAGTTGGCTCCAAAACGCTCCCAAGGCAAGGAAGACAGTTGAGTCGGATGATTCCTCCAGAGAGAGGGCACGCCCTGTGAAACGCCATTGGAAGGGCGAGGGCTCCTGGCAAGGGTAAGGTGCCCCTCAAGCACAATCAGCCCATCGGTCTCCCCCGCCGGCGGGGGAGGAGTGTGGACGGACCCAAAACCACCACCGAGGGACATCGGCGAGGGTCTCAGGTAAGTCACTGAAGGGGTTTTCACCCCTTCAGCAACATGGGATGGGTGGTGGGAGGGAGAGGGGACCTGCAGTGCCAGGAAAACGATTTGTTTTCCTGGCACTGGAGTGTCCCTTTAAACTAGATATAAAAAGAATTTGCCAGCAAAAGAAACATTACACTCCGTTAAGGTATGCTAAATCTATATCCCCCCTCCCTCCTTCTTACCTTTAATGAAAGAGGGGGTGGGGGAGGCGGGGCACACAGCCATCCCTGGTGGTCCGGTGGTGGTAAGTAAAAAAAAAACACAGTAGAAAGAATTTTATTTTGGCATAAACTGGCAGATAACCGGTCTCTTTTGGCATCTATGGCCACCGTAGAGTGAAATTGCTTCCTATAACACAAGCTACTTTATCTCCTCCACCTGTCTTCAGCAGGTACTGGGAATTAAAGTCAGCCAGATTCCATTCTGTGTTTTACCTTTCTGCTCTTAATGATATTTAGTTGCCAGAGATCACCACCCTTAGATTATCCTCTTCCTATCCATTCAGCCAGCATTGCGTCTTGCACTGATTCTTCCCAGTCCCCTGCAGCTCCCCTGTCCCCTGCAGCTCCCCTGTCCTCCCGCGCGATGCTGTGTGGAGCGTTGCCCTGGTAACGTGCGGCAAAGCTCCACACAGATTGCTCGCGGGAGGACAGGGGAGCTGCTTCACAGATCCCTCCCCCTGCCTCCCGACATGGAAGCAGAGTAGGCGCCTGCCATTTTGGGCAGGCAGGTGCCTACTCTGTATTGATGGCGAACATATGGCCGTGTGCCCACAGAGAAGGCCGGGCGTGCCATAGGTTCGCCTTCACTGGCCTAGGCTATAAGAAGATTGCCAAGACCCTGAAACTGAGCTTTAGCACGGTGGGCAAAGAACATGCAGTGGTTTCACAGAACAGGCCTCGCCATGGTCGACCAAAGAAGTTGAGTGCACGTGCTCAGCGTCATATCCAGAGGTTATCTTTGGGAAATAGACATATGACTGCTGCCAGCATTGCTGCAGAGGTTGAAGGGGTGGGGGGTTAGCCTGTCAGTGCTCAGACCATATGCCGCACACATGGCTACATGGCTCTCGTCCCAGAAGGAAGCTGTAACGGCACCCCCAGGCATAAAAGGGTTAAACCGCCGTTTAGTAGATCTTCCCTTCCAGAGACACAGGCACAGCTACTGCAGAACACCAATCCGCCGAACAGGAAACCATACGAATGCTGTAAACAGCCGAATAGGAAAAACCATACGAATAGGTTTACACTGGAACAGCATACAGTAAATCCCCCCAAGAACGAGACAAAGGTCCATGTTGAGGGTCAAGCAGTGAACAGTCAGAGCTGTGGGTTTATTGTGCTTATGTACACATTCTTACACATTACTACCATCCACAGGGTTTTGGAACACAACCAATAAACACGTACAATACACTCAGACACTCCCACGCAAATTCCTCCCCTCTGCCTGTGACACAATTACCTTACACAATGGGTAATGTAATTATAACAAGCAGAGAAATAAAAATTTTCCACATTTCCACATTATTCATAACTTGAAAAGTATGCATCACATTCACATAAAACTTACATTTTCAAAATCAGCATACTCCAAATACAAACATACGTCAAAATCATACAAAGTGGTCCAGTGGTTCAAAAGATAGATCGTAGTCCTTTGTGACCAAAGGAAGCATGGCTTTTCTGCCCAAAACCAGTTCCACAGAGTCTTCTATCCTGGAGATAATTGGGAAGTAATCCAATTATCTCCAAGGACAGAAGCAAAACTCCATTGAACACATGTCAGCAAAAGACAATAAAACACATAAAAACATATAACTGTGTAGCCATTGTACAAAACAGGTACATTCAACATATCCCCAGATAGCTCAGATCTGAGCGCACATTATTACTCCATGGCATAGCTATCTGGGGTATCACCGCTCAAACAGGGCAAGCACCAAATGACCCGGCTTTCATGTCTTTGCAGGGGAAAATCAAGCCTTTTAACATGGGGCCATAATCCAAAGGCAACAGGCGAGCAACCAGGCTTCTCCAAAGCAATGTGGCGAGATTGGTCTCGTCACAGAAGCCTCTTCTAAAGATGATGCCCAAGAAAGCCTGCAAACAGTTTGCTTAAGACAAGAAGACTAAGGACATTGATTACTGGAACCATGTCCTGTGGTCCGATGAGACCAAGATAAACTTATTAGGTTGAGATGGTGTCAAGCGTGTGTCGCGGCAACCAGGTGAGGAGTACAAAGACAAGTGTGTCTTGCCTACAGTCAAGCATGATGGTGGGAGTGTCATAGTCTGGGCCTGCATGAGTGCTGCCGGCACCAGGGAGCTACAGTTCATTAAGGGAACCATGAATGCCAACATGTACTGTGAGATATAGAGCATGATCCCCTTCCTTCAGAGACTGGGCCTCAGGGCAGTATTCCAACATGATAACGACCCCAAATACACCGCCAAGACGACCACTGCCTTGCTAAAGAAGCTGAATGTAAAGGTGATGGACTGACCAAACAAGTCTCCAGACCTAAACCCTCCTGATCATCTGTGGGGCATCCCCAAACGGAAAGTAGGGATATACAAGGTCTGTAACATCCACTAGCTCTGTGATGCCGTCATGGAGGAGTGGAAGAGGACTCCAGTGGCAACCTGTGAAGCTCTGGTGAACTCCATGCCCATGAGGGTTAAAGCTGTGCTGGAAAATAATGGCCACACAAAATAGACACTTTGGGCTCAATTTGGATATTTCCATTTAGGGGTGTACTCACTTTTGTTGCTAACGTTATTTTGAGGGGAAGCAAATTTACACTGTTATATAGGCTGTACACTAACTACTTTACATTGTAGCAGAGTGTCATTTCTTCAGTGTTGTTACATGAAAAGATATAATAAAATATTTACAAAAATGTGTACTCACTTTTGTGAGATAGTGTTTATATACACTGAACAAAATTATAAACGCAACACTTTTGTCTTTGCCCCCATTTTTCATTGTCTGGTCCCCTGCCCCCACGCCGCTCGCGACGTCCTTGCTTATCCCATCACCGCGAGTGGCGTCTTCCAGTCCCTGTCCGCAGCTTGTTGCTGTTCCCACCGCCACTCCCCAGACTGACAGGGTTTCTGACGCTGCACACTTCAAGGCTTCCTTAGATGTGTGGCGAACCTGGTCACGTGACCCAGCACACAGGGATGAAGAATTTGGCTGTACATCCAAACGGCCTCACAGCCGCAGACCATTTGTAACCACACCAGCCCAGGAGCTCCACATCCAGCATATTTACCTCCAAGATCGTCTGAGACCAGCCACCCGGACAGCTGCTGCAACAATTGGTTTGCATAACCAAAGAATTTCTGCACAAACCGTCTCAGGGAAACTCATCTGTATGCTCATTGTCCTCATAGGGGTCTCGATCTGACAGCAGTTCGAAGTCGAAACCGACTTGATGGCGTCTGGCACTTTGGAGAGGTGTTCTCTTCACGGATGAATCCTGGTTTTTACTGTACACGGCAGATGGCAGACAGCGTGTAGGTGAGCGGTTTGCTGATGTCAATACAGTAAAACTGCACGGTTTTGAGTGTCCTGTTTTTATGGCGAGCCTAAGGCACACCTGTGCAATAATCATGCTGTCTAATCAGCATCTTGATATGTCACACCTGTGAGGTGGATGGATTATCTCGGCAAAGGAGAAGTGCTCACTAATAAAGATTTAGACAGATTTGTGAACCATATTTGAGAGAAATAGGCCTTTTGTGTACATAGAAAAAGTCTTAGATCTTTGTGTTCAGCTCATGAAAAATGGGAGCAAAAATAAAAGTGTTGCGTTTAGAATTTTGCTCAGTGTAGATATAGATAGATATATAAAATTTTGTTCCAAGTGTATTTTGATATCAATACATATTAATATCAAAATACAGTTAGAACAAAATTGCACACATCATTTTTATTTATTTTTATTATATATAGTTAGTACAATGTTAAACAAAAATCTGCACACCAGTGAAGCCATAAGATTTGCTTTTTCCACAGAAATCACAAATTTGCAGTGATATTACTACCGCAAAGAATTCTGGGTGGGCATATGCAAATTAGTTTAACAAAGAATCACAAGGGCCTCAGCATCATAACCAAACAGCATATACTGATTATTGTGCTTAGACTCCCCTTTTAATCTATAAAAGCAATTTAAACTTTTGGCTTTAGTGGCTTGCGTTTGATAAAATAAAAAAAATATATACACTTTTTTAAAGGTTCTCAAATATATAAAAACAGTATACCGTAAAGTATCTTATAAATACATTGTATAACTTAGTAATATTTGTCATACAATGTTTGATGCAACAGTGCCACCTTAAGGCATCAGCCTTATTTGCAAGCCCTGGAAAGCAGCACAATATCCATTATTAAAGAGAAACTATAGAGGTAGATGGATACCTTTTTAAATTTGTTATATAGATAAAGCAATACAAAAATAATGCAAATATAAATAAAAAATATAGACTTCTGTCATGATAGAGTGGAACTGTTGTATATAACAGTATTTACATCACCTGCTATGCCTCCCACCTGTTATTTTACTGGCACCAACCCCATGGCTGCCCAGTCGCTAGTCTTACATGCATAGTAGATATGCACACACGAGTAGCCACCACATAGTTCATGCTGCCAGCAGGTAAATAATACTTGAAATTAGCTAAAATAAGCTATAATTTGCGGACGTGCATCCTTCCGGAAGCAATGCATCTTGGTGCTTTGTGAATGTTAAGAAAATAGACTGAGTTTCGGCATTTTCTTCTGTGTTCGTGTTTTTCTGCAACTTTTCGTTCATTTTGGATTTATTGGTTCGGCAGTTTAAAACTACCGAACACTGACCACCCTCCTCATTAACTTCAAAAAGAACCGTCTATTAAGCGCTCTCTGGGCGGCCGCCATTCGTATAGCCGAATGCCACATGGAACAGAAAACGGCGGCCATCTTGTTTGCACGAAAGGAGGCAGCGGGACTTGGTCGTCGAGTGTCTGGAACTAAAATCGGACACTCTACCTCCCGAACCACCGCTGAAACATACGAACGCCTGCTTCCTTTAGTTGCTGAACAGCCAGGAGAGCACCATTCAGTAGTTTGGTACATATGAACAAGGGGAGCAATAGCTCCTACGAGCCAGGAGGATCCATTCGGGACTTTATTCGTTTTTATGCCATTTACTGAATTGACCAACCGCACTCGCTGAATTCGTGGAACGGTTTTGGGCAGGAGCCTCGTGTGTGGTCAGTAACTTATGACTTCCATACTTTTTGAGAACCCCTGAACCGATCTGGGTAAAATTTTAATATGTTGGTCCCCCAGATCGGGGCTATCAGGGGATATGTAATTTGTGGGGATACCTTGTGTGTAAAGGGGTGTTCTAATTTTTGGGGAAAATTGTGTGCCCTCTGCCTGGAGATGATTGGGTTATTCCTTAACTTATCTCACTATCTCCCAGGCAGAGAGAGGGCGGGTGTTACTGTAAATCTGTATGCTGATTGGTTATTGTCTTTGTTTACTGTGGGAGGTCCTCTTGCGGGAGGATTCTAATAAAAGCCAGTGTGGCATCAATAAAAGCTATTCCTGTTACCCCCTTCATGAAGTCTAGGCTAATGCTTGGGGAGTATTCTACTTGCTAGGGAGAATCGTCTTGGAAGCTACATTCATCTACACTATTCCTCTACCTCCTAACTGCAGTTATAATCATTTATGCTCAGCTATTGGGAAAGGAATAGAAGACCGCAGTACCATAACCACTGCAGGTCTTAACAGTGAATAGTCAGAATCCTATATATTGTATAAGGTTCGGATGTGAAAACACTAATTTTAATACAGACACTTAATGCATCAGATCCGGTCAGATGGAAAGAATTGCAACTGGATTTGGCTTTAATAAATATGAGAACTGGCATTTCGGTCAGAATACAGCTATTTTCACTGGATTCTGCTCATTCAGAAAAATGTAATTTTTACTATATTACCCTGTTTACGTGCTTCCTTTAAAAAAAATAAAAAAAAAAAAATCACCTTGTAATGTTGTTTTTTTTTTTAAATACAAACACCCCAAAAGTGGAAGCAGCAGTGGGGCCCTGTGAAAGCTTCTTCTTGTGGGCCCATTAAGCTTCTTCTTGTGGGCCCATTTTAGTGCAACCACTCCCCACTTCCGTGTCCTATTCCTCTCATTTATATAGGTATACACTGACCAGCCACAACAGTAAAACCACTGACAGGTGAAGTCAATATTGTGGAATAGAACAGGCAGCAGTCTAGGTCAGAGCATCTCCAAACGGAGGTTATCCCGGAATGCAATGGTTAGTATGCATTGGGCGCCCAAAGCTCATTGATGCATGTGGGGAGAAAAGGCTAGCCCGTCTTGTATGATCACACAGAGCAGCTACTGTAGCTCAAGTTGCTGAAAAACTTAAAGGGACTATTGTCACCTGAACAACTACTGCTTAATGTAGTTGTTCTGGTGAGTATAGCCTGTAGCTGCAGGCATGTTCATGTAAACACTGCCTTTTCTTACATTGTTCCCTAGGGACACCACCAGTGGAATTCACAAAGTCTTCCACTAGAGTTGCTCCCTGGGTCAGTGTTGCACAACATGCAGCACTAATGGTCGGCGTTTCCATCATCGGAATTCACGATCTCAGGCAATCCAATGCTTTCCCATAGGAATTGTCAATTCTGATGCCAAGGAGGCAGATCTGAAGCGGGGCCAGCAGACATGCGTGGGGCTGGAATAAAGGTAAGTAAACTACTTATTCAAGGGGGACAAGCGGGGCCAGGGGGCTAAATTGTGTTTTTAACACCATAGGGTCAGGAATACGTTTGTATTCCTAACCCTATAATGTTTGTATAATGCTGGCCATGACAGAAAGGTGTCAGAACACACAGTTTGCTGCAGATGGGGCTGCATATCAGCATACGGAGTACCCACGATGAGCCCTGTCTGCTGCCAAAAGTGCCTTCAATAGGAACGTGGGTGTCAGAACTAGACCATTAAAGGGACTCTCCAGTGCCAGGAAAACAATCCGTTTTCCTGGCACTGCAGGTCCCCTCTCCCTCCCACCTCCCAATCCCCGGTTGCTGAAGGGGTGAAAAACCCTTCAGTCACTTACCTGAGACCGCCGCTCCTCCTCTGCATTACGTCGGCCGGTGAAAATCTGTGCTAGAGACATGGAAGTGCCCTCTAGTGGCTGTCTAGTAGACAGCCACTAGAGGTGGAGTTAAACCTGCAAGGTAATTATTGCAGTTTATAAAAAACTGCAATAAATACAGTTGCAGGGTTAAGGGTAGTGGGAGTTGGCACCAAGACCACTCCAATGGGCAGAAGTGGTTTGGGTGCCTGGAGTGTCCCTTTAAGAAATGGAAGAAGGTTGCCAGGTCTGATAAATCAAGTTTTCTTTTAGATCAGGTTTATGGATGGGTGCATGCAAGTAATTTATTTGGGAAAGAGATGGCAGCACAATGCACTATAGGAAGTAGGCAGCCCGACTGATACAGTGTTATGCTTTGGGCAATGTTCTGCTGGGAAACCTTGGGTCCTGGCATTCATGTGGATGTTACTTTGACATGTACCAATAACCTAGTGATTATTGCAGACTACATACACCCTTCCATGGCAATGGTATTGCCTATTTTAGCAGGTTAAAGAATCCTGCTACACTGTAAAAATTGTTCAGGATTCTTTTTGAGGAACATGACAAAGAGTTCAATGTGTTGCCTTGGTTTTCAGATTTTTCTAATCTCAATCCTATTGAGCATCTGTGGGATGTGCTGGAACAACAACTCCGATCCATGGATACTCAACCTCGCAACTTGCAGGACTTACAGGATCTGCTGTTTATGTCTCGGTGCCAGATACCACAGGACACGTTCACAGGTCTTGTGGAGTCCATGCCTCGACGCATCAGAGCTGTTTTGGAAGCACAACCTACATGATATTAGGCAGGTGAATTTAACCCCTTAAGGCATTTTTGCCTTGCCGACCGATGACGGTCCTGAACCGTCCTAACGGTCTGGGGGTACTTACCTGATCGCCGTCGTTCCCCTGGCGGCGATCAGCGTTGCTCCCGGTGTGGGGAGACTGCCTGCAGCCCAGACAGTCTCCCCACGGCAGATTAGGACCCCTGTGGCCATGTGATCGCTTAACACAGCGATCACATGGTCACAATAGGTGTCCTAGTGTCTGCCTGCAGGGGGACTGTCTGTGCTGACAGGCAGTCTCCCTGCTTGTGTAAAATCAGAAAAAAAAAATAAAGTTAGTGTTAATTAAAAAAAATAAAATAATTATATATGTGTATATATGATATATAGACATATATTATATCTATATAATATATGTCTATATATCATATATATAATGTCATACTAAGTGTATTTTTATATTAATATGTACTTATATTAATATAAAAATACACTTATAATTAAATTACACACGTATATATATAATATATATAATAACTATATATATTGTATATATATATTATTATAAAATATAAATAATAAGTAATTTAAATTAAATAATTTTTTAAAAATAATAAAAAAATTTAAAAAAATTATATAACTATATGAAATTTTATTCTAACTGTATTTTAAAATTAATATATATATATTTATATCAAAATACACTTAGAATGAATTTGTATATATATATCTATGTATATAAAAATAAATAAAAATAATAAGAAATATACATACGTCCATATACAAAATTACATAAATAATTATATAAATATACACGTAGACTTCAAATATATAAATATGCATATATATTTAAATTCTACGTGCGTATTTATGTAATATTTTTACATAATTAAGTAATTTTATTGATTGCAATTTGAGGGACCTGCCTGCCAACCCAGGCCGAAATTCCAGAGAATTTAATTTGCTAGCACTGTATTTTACCCTGTAACGTTCTACGACACCCTAAAACCTGTACATGGGGGGTACTGTTTTACTCGGGAGACTTCGCTGAACACAAATATTAGTGATTCACAACAGTAAAACATATCACAGCGATGATATTTTCAGTGAAAGTTACTTTTTTTGCATTTTTCACACACAAACAGCAGTTTTACTGATGATATAATTGTTGTGATACGTTTTCCAGTTTTTAAACACTAATATTTGTGTTCAGCGATGTCTCCCGAGTAAAACAGTACCCCCCATGTACAGGTTTTATAGCATTTTTGAAAGTTACAAGGTCAAATATATGGGTCAAATATTTTTACATTGAAAATGGCCAGGTTGGTTACGTTGCCTTTGAGAGCGTATGGTAGCCCAGGAATGAGAATTACCCACATGATGGCATACCATTTGCAAAAGAAGACAACCCAAGGTATTGCAAATGGGGTATGTCCAGTCTTTTTTAGTAACCACTTGGTCACAAACACTGGCCAAAATTAGCGTTCAATTTAGTTTTTTTACTTTTTTCACACACAAACAAATATGAATGCTTACTTTGGCCAGTGTTTTCGACTAAGTGGCTACTAAAAAAGACTGGACATACCCCATATTGAATACCCTGGGTTGTCTACTTTAAAAAAAATATGTACATGTGGGGTGTTATTCAGAAATTTATGACAGATAATAGTGTTACAATGTCACTATTGATAAATTTTAAAAATGTATGTTTTGAAACCGCAATATCCTACTTGTACCTATAGCCCTATAACATGCAAAAAAAAGCACGTAAACATTAGGTATTTTTAAACTCAGGACAAAATTTTGAATCTATTTAGCAGTTTTTTTCATTCGCTTTTGTAGATGAGTAAAAGATTTTCAAGTAAAAGTCAAAAAACATGTATTTTTTTCAATTTTTCATCATATTTTTTTATTTTTTTTAAATTAAAATACATGAGATTATATAAATAATGGTATGTAAAGAAAGCCCCTTTTGTCCTGAAAAAACAATATATAATTTGTATGGGAACAGTAAATGAGAGAGCGGAAAATTCCAGCCAAACACAAACACCACAAAAGTGTAAAAATATTCCTGGTCGCAAATGTACAACATCGCAAAAACAGTCCAGTCCTTAAGGGGTTAATGTTGTGGCAGATCAGTGTTATTCTCCTTTGTTCAGCAATATTGTTTTAACTGTTAACACATTCAAATAGTGTGTCTCAGTTAACACTCTTAGCCATTGAATTATATCCCAGCTCAAACAGAGGCAGTAGAGCCCAACTTCTGGAGGTATGAAAACATGATAGACATGGTTGAACCTAGAGGAGGTTTGCTAGTGATACAACTAGCCTCACTGATGATACCCAAAGTGGGCACTCGTGCCTGAAAAGCAGGAAGTGGCATATCAAATGAAAATGGGGACTATGGCAAGCACTGAAATTGCACCTCTCGCTGCACCCATCTATTACATATGTTTACCATAAAAACTAATAAAAAAAATACAAGCTGTATGTCGTGTGTGTGCATTGTGCACTGGCTGTATGTGATGTGAGTGGTGGCTTTATGTAATGTGTGTGGTTGTGCTCTGTGTAGTCCCTCCTGCTTGGCTTTCTTCAAGGGAGGATGGGCTATTCTGTCAGACTCCCTGGGGGTGAGTGTGCGGTTGGCACTCGGACATTAGTAAATCACTCCCTCGCAGATTGGTACTCAGCGAGTCAGAGTGTAAGATTAGAACATCTGGCGACCTCACTCGGACTCACTAGAGAGTGCAAGACTGCAAGGGAGCAATTACTCTCAGTGCCGGACAGGGCTTAAAACTTCACGCTACAAGCTCTGACCTCCCCTCCCCCAAGGCAGCTCTGCTGCTTGCTCACAGCAAGGCTAAAAGAATAAAACAAACTACCCAGTGGCAACAGAGCCAGATTAAAGGACCACGATAGTGCCCAGAAAACATACTTTTTTTCCTGGCACTATAGTGCCCTGAGGGTGCCCCCACCCTCAGGGTCCCCCTCCCGCCGGGCTCTGGGGAGAGGAAGGGGTTAAACTTACCTCTTTCTCCAGCGCCAGGCGGGGAGCTCTCCTCCCCTTCGGCTGAATGCGCATGCACGGCAGGAGCTGCGCACGCATTCAGCCAGTCTCATAGAAAAGCATTTACAATGCTTTCCTATGGACGCTGGCGTCTTCTCACTGTGATTTTCACAGTGAGAAGCACGCAAGCGCCTCTAGCGGCTGTCAAGAGACAGCCGCTAGAGGCTGGATTAACCCTAACATAAACATAGCAGTTTCTCTGAAACTGCTGTTTATAAAAAAAAAAAAAGGGGTTAGCCCTAGCTGGACCTGGCACCCAGACCACTTCATTAAACTGAAGTAGTCTGGGTGCCTATAGTGGTCCTTTAATGTCTACAATCTCTAGGCAGGGTGCCAGTTTGGACCCCCCTCATAGATCCCTGTTTTTTTGTGTGTGGGGTGAGAGTGATTGTGGAAGAGCTGAGTGTTTCTGTGTCTCTAGCAAAATATATTCATATATGTCCCCGAGTATTCTTGTGGGTGAATATGTGTTTGTACTTTTGTGTATGTCTGTGAGCATATGTTTATGTGGTAGTTGTGCTTGCATTGTGTGTTTTATGTTTGGGAGGTGATGGTGTATAATAATTACTAATTTCAGAGGGTGACTGTGATATGGTGAGTAGGGGGGTAACTTTGGCAGGGAGTGGGTGGGTAAATGTGGCATGACATGGGGCACGAGTGTGGCAAGGTAAGGGGATTGAGTGTGGCTGCGTTCGGGGGGTGAGTGTGACAGGGTTAGTTTGGCAGAGTGAGAGGGATGGGGAATGTGTCAATTTTGGAGAAGTGAGGGACTGCAGCAGTGTGTAAGGGGTGACAATGCATGAGGACTAAGTGTCAGGATGTAGGGAGGCTGTGTTAATAAACACCCCCCTTATCTCCTGGGATTAACAAATACATTCCATGGAGGTCCAAACAAATGCAAACTGCTTACCATGAGGCTGTGCTAGAAAACACCTGGCACCATAATCACCACAGTGCACTGTTGTGATTATGTTCCTTAAACTAAATCTTATACTCATAGGGGTCGGCTATTTGCTATATAAAGAGAGACTTTCTGGCAACACACTGTAATTTAACACTATCTTCACGCTATGCTCAAAGCAGAACATTGCCCTCACTCATGATGGCGCCAAACGCGCTGACACGTAACAAAAAGATCAATGTTGCCTTAAATTAAGTGTATCTAGCTTGCTTACATCTACAGCGGAAGCTTTTCGTGTCACCTCCTCGGTCACGAATCGCTCCAAGCCCCGACCTGCGGTGCAGAAGAAACGCGCTCTCTTAGGAGAACAGTCCACTTTCGTTTCCGCCATTGGTTACTTTCTTTACAGGAGCTTACAGTACAATACATGAGGGCACAACCTCCCAGGTCTCTAAGCAAAACGCTGGCCTGTAGTTTTTTTTTTTTTTACGAAGTGCGCGTTCTGTCATCTACTTTTGCGACCCTCGGCAGCCATGATAAGTACTGGCAGCCCCTCTCCTGTTACGTCATGGGGCCCGCGTGTAGTAAATGCCCCCAAGATAGAAAATAAGCAATAGAACGCGAGTTCGTACATTTGGGAAGTGAGGTTCGGGTTGGATGAAATAAACATTGTATACCTGTGCTATTATGGTTAGGAGGTGATCATATTATCACTCAGTAGTACTAAACGGGAAACCCACCCCATGTTCACTGCATTCTACAGGTCAGTAGTTCTCAACCCTTTTTTTTCATCAAGGCAATCTTATTGGGTTACAAAAAAAAGAAAAAGAGGGAGTTAATATAGTAAGCATGTGCATGTGCTGTGGTTTCTATGCTTGGAGAGCAGAAGGTTTCTATATTAAATAGTTTTTTCCTCCTAATCTATACATTTGCAAGAAAATCTGCTGGTACAATGTATAGATAAAATTGGATGTTCTTAGGAGCATAAATTATAGGTAGCGTGACAAGGACCTTGAAACACACTAGTGTGCCATGGCCAGTAGCTGGGGGGGGCGGCCGCATTACATGACTTGACTGACTGGAGAAGTGCTGTGTGCTCCTCTCGCGCCGGTCACTTGGACATTGTGCCCTTCCCACGGAATCTTGGGGGCAGCCAGCGGATAGAGCTCCGCGGTTGTGCCCAGCCGCCAAAACAGGGCCCCAGGCACCAGTAAGAGCCTCCCCTTCTGCCTGGGGATCCTGCTCCTGGAATGTTGCTGCTTGGAGTTTGTGCTGCAAGTCGGTGACTGGCCTCTACAGGCATGTTGGGCCCTTAAGGAGAGCCCTGAGTGAAATAACTGGGTGGTGTGCACAGTGATCACTTATGCGGGTGAGTGGTCACAGAGGGACATCCTAGGGTCGGGGAATATCTAAAATAGAGATGGGGCATGGTGGCATTCCAGTAATTGAGGACAAGGGTCATCTTAGGGGTAGGAGATATCTGAAAGAGGCAGACAGGTGTTTTCCAGGGATAGAGGACAGGGTAAGATTGTCATTTGGCTGGTATTTCAGGCTGCCTGTCCAGTGCCGGTATTGCAAAAATACTGGCAATACAAATGCAGGTATTTTTTCTGATTGAAAATAGACGCAATGCAGCCGCCGGTCAGTAAGAGAGAGGCAGGGAAGAAGCTTCAGGGGAGCAGCTCTACACAACACACAGCAAGAAAAGCCAGCAGTTTCTAGCCTGCAATCAGCCTACTGATCAGAGCTAGCTGTTGGGACATCTGAAATCAATAGGCGTGCGCACGGGGTGTGCCTGGGCACACCCTAATCCCCGCGGCACGCCTATGGAGTGAGACCAGCAGGGGAGATCTCAGGATCCCCCCTGTCGGCTCATGCAGAGCCGGCGCTATCCGAGCGCCGGCTCTGCTTTCAGCCTCCCTCCCCACCGAGTCACAGGGAGGGAGGCAGGAGAGGACCCGGGGAGCTATTGTCGGCAGCTCCGCCGGGTTCCTCTCGCGAGACCTGAGCGTTGCCGCGGCAATGCTCAGATCTCATGAGAGTGAACTCTAGCCCCGTAGGCTAGAGTTCACTCACCACTGGACCACCAGGGAAGGCAGCAAGGAAGGATCCCCCCTCCCTACAAAAGGTGAGAAGGGAGGGGGAATATTAAGTAATCTGCCCCCACCTCCAGTGGACCACCAGGGAAGGCAGCAAGGAACAAGATCCCCCCTTCCTACATAAAGTAAGAAGGGAGGGGGGATATTAAGTACACACACATACACAGCACCTACACACATACAGCACCCACACACATACACAGCACCTACACACATACAGCACCCACAGACATACACAGCACCAACACACATACAGCACCCACACACATATACAGCACCCACACACATACACAGCATCAACACACATACACAGCATCAACACACATACGGCACCCACAGACATACACAGCACCTACACACATACAGCACCCACACACATACACAACACCTACACACATACAGCCCCCACATACATACAGCCCCCACAGACATACACAGCACCTACACACATACAGCACCCACACACATACAGCACCCACACACATACACAGCACCTACACACATACAGCACCCACAGACATACACAGCACCTACACACATACAGCACCCACACACATACACAGCACCAACACATATACAGCACCCACACACATACAGCACCTACACACATACAGCACCCACAGACATACACAGCACCTACACACATACAGCACCCACACACATACACAGCACCTACACACATACATCACCCACAGACATACACATCACCCACACACATACAGCACCCACAGACACACACAGCACCTACACACATATACAGCACCAACACACATACAGCACCCACAGACATACACAGCACCTACAGACATACACAGCACCTACACCATGGCCCCCTTTAGTGTATTTTACCCTTGTGGGAGGTGCTTGGTTTCCCTTCTTAAAGGACCACTCTAGGCACCCAGACCACTTCAGCTTAATGAAGTGGTCTGGGTGCCAGGTCCTTCTAGGGTTAATCCATTTTTTTTATAAACATAGCAGTTTCAGAGAAACTGCTATGTTTATGAATGGGTTAAGCCTTCCCCCTAATCCTCTAGTGGCTGTCTCATTGACAGCCACTAGAGGCGCTTGCGTGCTTCTCACTGTGAAAATTACAGTGAGAGCACGCAAGCGTCCATAGGAAAGCATTGTAAATGCTTTCCTATGCGACGGGCTGAATGCGCGCGCAGCTCTTGCCGCGCGTGCGCATTCAGCCCAGGAGGAGGAGGAGAGGAGGATCGGAGGAGGAGAGCTCCCCGCCCAGCGCTGGAAAAAGGTAAGTTTTTACCCCTTTCCTCTCCCCAGAGCCAGGCGGGAGGGGGACCCTGAGGGTGGGGGCACCCTCAGGGCACTATAGTGCCAGGAAAACGAGTATGTTTTCCTGGCACTATAGTGGTCCTTTAAGGAGCACCAGGCCCCTCCACACTACCATCTCAGGTTTGGAGATTGGCATTTATGTTGTCCTGGGTCGGCTCTGACTCAGGCAGGCATCCCTGTTTGTTTCTGTTCGCGGCCATATAAACGCTTTCGTTCACATGGTTGTTCTCAGCTATTTCTAGCCGATCGAGCATTCAGGAACAAATGCACGAACAATGTACCATACAGTTCAATATTATTCATTTGTATGGTTCAGGAGTAAGGAGCGTTTCAGTTATATACTAAACTTAGCCACCGCATGGCCATTTGTATAGTTTTAATCGAACGCCCTATGTTTACATAGACGATAGCAGTCTTAGGGGGATTTTATGTGTTACATAGCTACCTCCGGTGGTCATTTCTGATTATGACAAGTAGTTGTGAAAATTGTCTGCTAATAGGTTGTTTCACTACTTTTACAATACTATGGATTAGGTATATCTTGCAATTACGTTTCATAGACCCCGTTAATTCAGTGATTATCTGGTCTCAGTGTCATGTATTCAGGCCAATTCTCATAAGGGTGTTTTGTCATTTGATTTCATAAATTTGATTATAGACATCTTATGTTTCAGTTTCAACAGCATTCAACAATTGAGCTTCAGCTCTTCTACCATTTGCTTTTCACCGTGTATATAGGTTAGTGATTACGGTTATTATGTCCACTTCTGGTCTCATAAGGCCTGATCCTTATGTGTATTTTTTCTACATTACTAGGTACTAGGCCATCCTAGCCGCATTTTCGAGGCTTTTTAGTACCGGTCTACTGCCTTCATGTAGAATACCAGTAGGTATCTTTTTAGTAGAGGGGGTTAAGGGTACATTATGATATAATCAGGGCCAGTGCAAGGATTTTTGCCGCCCTAGGCAAAAGTAAAGTTTGCCGCCCCCCCATGTGACATCACAATGCCCCACCCATATGATCTGCCATGTTAACTAACGCCAGTGCTGCAGTGCTGCCGTGTTTACATTTAAAGGCCTGCAGGGACAGGCTATAGACACCAGAACCACTACATTAAGCTGCAGTGGTTCTGGGGACTATAGTGTTTCTTTAATGTGAGGTAAATTAGAGACTAGTACCACGAATAATATGCTAGATTGCCTACTTACAACCAGATGAGGATGATGATGGGCTCTAGCTGCAGTCTGGCTCCACTGGTCTGGTGTAGAACAGGATCTCTGGAGGCTGTTTGTAACTGTGGTCACAAAAATCTATGTTTTGGGAGAACGGGAAGCAGCTCCCTTTTTTTGTGGCCCTTTACACAGCTCAAGGTCTGGGTCCCAGGGTCCAAATTCATGTTCCACCAATGGTTTGTTCACAGTGGGTGGAGTGTGTAGGGGATGTCCTGATATGTGTGTAAGGAATGCATTGTGTGAATCTGTGTTTGTATGTGTAAGGGCTGCAAGGTGTGTTTCTGTGTATGTATGGGATGCAGTGTGTGCGTCTGTAAGGGGTGCATTGAGTGTGTGTAAGGAATGCATTGTGTGTTTCTGTGTGTGTGTGTGTAATACATTGTGTGTTTTTCTGTGTGCAAGGGGTGCATTGTCTTCGTGTGTGTATGTGATGAATTTCTTTCTCCCCCCCCTCGTCAATTTCTTTCTCCCCCCTCCCTGTCAATTTCTTTCTCCCCCCGTCAATTTCTTTCTCCCCCCTCCCTGTCAATTTCTTTCTCCCCCACTCCCTGTCAATTTCTTTCTCCCCCACTCCCTGTCAATTTCTTTCTCCCCCACCCCTGTCAATTTCTTTCTCCCCCCACCCTGTCAATGTCTTTCTCCCCCCATCAATTTCTTTCTCCCCCCCTGTCAATTTCTTTCCCTTCCCCTGTCAGTGTCTTCCCCTATCAATTTCTTTCTCCCCTGTCAATTTCTTCCCCTTCCCTGTCAATGTCTTTTTCCCCTCAATGTCTTTTCCCCTCACAATGTCTTTCTCCCCCTCGTCAATGTCTTTCTCCCCCGTCAATGTCTTTCTCCCTCGTCAATGTCTTTCTCCCCTATCAATGTATTTCTCCTCCATGTCCTTTTCTCCCCCAA